GGAGAGAGGTCAGATTAGATGCCCAGTCCTTCATGGTGAGTGCACTGCCGGGTCTCAGGATCCCAATTCTTACTGTCTTATTTGGAAAATACTCGAATACATACAAATAAAATCACCTGTGTCCACCACCATCCAAATCGTATTAAAAATCTGCAGTGTCTCTGTTTGTCCAACTGCCCCTGTTTTCTCCAGTTAATGGTCTCAAATCTTAACAAGCTCACCCTTAAGATTCTGGTTCAGAAAGCCTGGGGCAGAGCCCCAGATCTGCTTTTAAATACCCCACTGATCAGGGGCTACAAACATTTCTAAGAATCCCTATTAGAGCTTTGTGTTCTAGCTTAGATTTGTATGTCAATATCAGCATGAATTTTTTTTTGAGACAAGTAGTCTCACTGTTGCGCTGGTGTAAGTGCCATGGTGTCAGCCTAGCTCACAGAACCTCAAACTCCTGGACTCAGAATCCTCTGCCTCAGCCTCCCAAGTAGCCGGGACTACAGGCATGCGCCACCATGCCCGCTAATTTTTTTATATATATTTTAGTCCAGCTAATATTCTTTCTATTTTTTTTAGTAGAGAGGGGTCTCGCTCTTGCTCAGGCTGGTCTCGAAACCTGACCTAGAGTGATCTCCCGCCTCAGTCCCAGAGTGCTAGATCATGCCATTTTTTTTTTTTTTTTTGGACAGAGTCCCACTTTGTTGCTCAGTCTAGAGTGAGTACCATGGCGTCAGCCTAGCTCACAGCAACCTTAATCTCCTGGGCTCAAGTGATCCTGCTGCCTCAGCCTCCGAGAAGCTGGGACTACAGGCATGTGCCACCATGCCCGGCTAATTTTTTTCTATATATATTGTTGGCCAATTAATTTCTTTCTTATAGTAGAGACGGGCTCGCTCTTGCTCAGGCTGGTTTTGAACTCCGGACTCGAGTATCCAACCTCCTCGCCTCCAGAGTGCTAGGATTACAGGGGTGAGGCACCTCGCCCAGCCTATGCATTTTTTTTTTTTTTTTTTTTGGACAGAGTCTCACTTTTTTGCCCAGCTAGAGTGAGATGCCGTGGCGTCAGCCTGGCTCAACAGCACTCAATCTCCGGGGCTCAGGATCCTCCCTGCCTCAGCCTCCCGAGTAGCTGGGACTACAGGCATGCGCCACCATGCTCGGCTAATTTTTTGATATATATTTTTAGTTGTCAATTAATTTTATTTCTATTTTGGTAGAGACAGGTCTTGCTCAGGTTGGTTTCGAACTCCTGACCTTGAGCAATCCGCCGGGGAGGCTGAGGCAGAGGATTGCTTGAGTCCAGGAGTCTGAGGTTGCTGTGAGCTAGGCTGACACCATGGCACTCTAGCCCAGGCAACAGAGTGAGACTCTGTCTCAAATAAATAAATAAATAAATAAATAAATAAATAAAGTTCATGCTGATATTGACATGCAAATCTAAGCTAGAAAGCCAAAGAGCTCCAATAGGGATTCTTAGAAATGTTTGTAGCCCCCTGATCAGTGGCTATATTTAAAAATGCAGATTCTGGGGCTCTGCCCCAGGCTTTCTGAACCAGAATCTTTAAGGGTGGAGCTTGTTAAGATTTGAGACACTTAATCTGGAAGAACAGGGGCAGTTGGACAAACAGAGACACTGCAGATTTTTATACGATTTGGATGGTGGTGCGACACAGGTGATTTTTATTTGTGTGTATGTATTCGAGTATTTTCCAAATACAACAGTAAGAATTGGGATCCTGAGACCCGGCAGTGCCACTCACCATGGAAGGACTGGCATCTAATCTGACCCTCTCTCCCTCCCCCCAGACCCTGCTCTGACATCCGCCTGTCCCTCCCACTTGCCCAAAGAAACACTTGTGGTTAATGAATCTCAGAAAAGGGATGTGAAAGTTAGAAGAAAAAGTGACAGAAGCTAAAGGATGGGGGTGGGGAGGTGGTCCCAGCTGGGCAGACCCCACTGCTGCTACCACTAAAGTTGGGAGTGAGGAGCAGCAGGCACCTGGGATCCCACTCCTGACGACCCTGCAAAAATACCCTGCACAGACCTTCAAAATCGTCCTTGTCCCCCTGTGTCAACCTCTGAGACACTTCATGTCCTGGTCACCTCCAAAACCTGGGGGGGTGGAGCGTGAACAGGGTGGAGTCTCAGGGAAAGCAAATGAGGCCCCAGGTCTGCCTGGGTCCACTCCTGCGTCCTCAGAGATGTCCCCACCACTGCCGCTGCTGTCCCTACTGCTGCTGCTGCTGCTAAATGTGGAGCCCACCGGAGCCAGCCTGATCCGGTATGGTGACCCATCTGCCACCCCCACACCTGGGACCGATTATCCACCTCTTGCCCTTTAAGTCTGGGGCTCCCAGTTCAGTGACTCCCAAACCCCACCCCAGGATCTCTGACTGCTCTTTCTTGGGTTCCCAGATCTCTAATCTCAGCTCTCACCACTGAGGGGTCCACTCTGGCATCTCCGAAGACCAGAGTCCTTTCAAGTCCAAGACCCTTGCTTGAGAACCCCTCCCCCTCCTCTCAAGAGCCCCCTGCAGACCCCTGTCTGAGCTCTGATCATCTGGTACTGGCGTCTCCAGCCATGTGACCCCCGCCATCTTGGAGACCCAGATCTGTGACCTTTAAGCGAAGACTCCCCAGATTCACACCCTCCACTCTGTTTAGGCCTCAAGAAGTCCAGTTTCAGGGACCCCCCCCAAGGGGTCCTCCCTCCAACCCCCCAACTTACCTCCCCCATATCTCCCTTCCTCTCCTCTCTTCCCCTCCCCCACTGGGACTGTGCGTTCCAGGAAGTGTTTTCCTCACTTCACATTCCTGTGCCTCTCTAAGACTGAGTCCTGGGGCGTGGGGGCCAAGGCGCGAGTGAGGGGACAGCACTCCAAGAAGTGACTAAGGGCAGGTACAAAAATATTACTGCACATGATGTTTATTAGCCTGCTTTCTGAACTTAATATATCACGGACCTTTTCCAAGTCCATGCAGATGGCAGTGAGTCTCAGACTGCTGTCTCAAGACCATCAGCATCAGCAGGACCTGAGAGAACTCGTTAGAAATGCAAATTCCTGGGCCCCATCCCAGACCTACTTAATCAGAATCTAAGAGATCTGAATTTTTTTTTTTTTTGAGACAGAGTCTCACTGTTTTGCCCCGGCTAGAGTGCCGTGGCATCAGCCTAGCTCACAGCAACCTCAACCTCCTGGGCTCAAGCGATCCTCCTGCCTCAGCCTTCTGATTAGCTGGGACTACAGGCATGCACCACCATGCCCCGCTAATTTTTTCTATATATTTTTAGTTGGCCAGCTAATTTCTTTCTATTTTTAGTAGAGACGGGGGTCTCGCTCTTGCTCAGGCTGGTTTCGAACTCCTGACCTCGAGCAATCCTCCCTTCCTCGGCCTCCCAGAGTGCTAGAATTACAGGCGTGAGCCACTGCACCCGACCCGAGATCTGAATTTTAACTAGCTCTGTGGGTCAGGGATTTACATATTGTCTGGGTTGCTTTTGATCGATTTTTACAGAGTTGAATAGTTATCACAGAGACTGTATGACCTGCAAAATCTTTACAGAAAGCTTTGCCCGACATTGTGCTGTAGGTGATTTTGTGTCATGCTAAAATTTGAGAACCACTAGTATAGAGAGCTACTTCCTTCTTTTTCATGGTCCAGTGGATTCCATTCTATGTATAGCAGAACCAAGCTGTGTGCATTGTTGGTCACTGGAGTGTCTCCAGTTTCCAAAATTAAACACATCCTCATAAACACATATTTCTGCATTCATCCAATGATCTCCTGTAGATTAAATTCCTAGAACTGAAATTGTTGGGTGAAAAGGTGGGTACAGCTTTAAGGCATTTGATACATATTTGCCAAATCTAGCCAACAGGGAGTATTCTCAGTTCTTTGCCAATCCGCAGGGTGAAACAAGGTTTCTCAGTCTTGTCATGTGTAGTTCTTTGATGACAACAGGGGTCGAACATCTTTCCATGTGTTTAGCCCTTTGCACTCCCTTGCTTTTTACTCGATTCCTTTATTCTACTCCGGATTTAATGTTTTAAATATCCCAGATTTTATGAGGCATGGCAGTAGAATAAAAAATTGGAGTTTCTTTCCATACAAACTTATTTATTTGGATTTTTTATATTTCAAATTATTGATACATTCAAAGAGTAATTTTAATCTCTATAATTTTTGCTAACCATGTCGAGTCACACTTGACATCTGAGTGCAAAGGGTTAGAGACTCTTTGTAGTTCTTTTGCAAAATACCTGTTCATGTCCTTTGTCCATTTTCCTTCTTAGTGTCAAAGTGTGAAGTGAAGTGAGGCTGCCACAGTTTCATGGCTGCTTATAGAACACACAAGACTGCCAGGTCAGAAACAAAGGGCAGTTTATTACTCCCAGTAAGAATAGTAGCAAGAGGCCTGCCGTGGTGGCTCATGCCTGTAATTCTAGCACTTTGGGAGGCCGAGGCAGGAGGATCGCTGGAGGTCAGGAATTCAAGACCAGCCTGAGCAAGAGTGAGACCCCTGTCTCTACTAAAAATAGAAAGAAATTAGTCAGACACCTAAAAATGTATAGAAAAAATTTAGTGGGGCATGGTGGTGTATGCCTTCAGGCCCTCCCAGCTATTTGGGAGGCTGAGGCAGGAGGATCGTTTGAGCCCAGGAGTTTGAGTTTGCTGTGAGTTGGGCTAACACCATGGCACTCTAGCCCGGGTAGCCCAGGCAACAGAGTGAGACTCTGTCTCAAAAAAAAAAAAAAAAAAAAAGTTGTAGCAAGGGTATCAGGATTGTGTCAGTTTTCTGAGCCCACGTTTCCATAGGATGAAGTGGGTAAGGCCAGGTGATACCTGCATGTGCAGTAAGGTGCATTGCAGGAAAACCACCCTGGGCTTAGAGAGTCTAAATCTTTTATAATGGATCATAAGCCTGCCTGCCCTTTTCTCTAGAGGGGGACGTTGTTTGTCTTCCAAAGTTGCTCACAAAACAAAATCCTTGAAAAGACAGTCTGGATAAAGAAAAGCCATTGCCTCTATAGAAATGTGAGAGACCTATGGAGGCTTGTCTCCCAGCACTGTGTTGTTTATCTTATACTTATTTATTTCTAGCAGCTCTTTGTATATTAGGTATAGTTACTCTTTGACATATAACTTGTAATTATTTCTCCCAGAATATTTGTCTTTTCTTTCTCTCTCTCTCTCTTTCTTTCTTTCCATTCTTCCTTCTCTCTCTCTCTCTCTCTCTCTCTCTCTCTCTCTCTCCTTTCTGGACAGAGTCTTATTCTGTCACCCCAGCCAGAGTACAGAGGTGTCAGCCTAGCTCACTGCAACCTGAAACTCCTGTGCTCAAATGATCCTCCTGCCTCAGCCTCCTGAATAGCTGGGACTACAGACAAGCACCACCACACCTGGCTAATTTTTCAATTTTTTGTTTTTGTAGAGATGGGATCTTGCTCTTGCTCAGGCTAGTTTTGAAGTCTTAAGCTCAAGCAATCCTCCCATCCCAGCCTTCTGAAGTGCTAAGATTAGAGGCATGAACCACTGTGCCTGGCCCTGTCTTTTAACTTTATTTACAGTTTTGTGGGGAGATGGGGGTTGGGAAGGGAGTACAGAGGCTTAAAAATTTTTTTTTTAATTTTTTTTCTTTTTTTCTTATGATTCAGGATGACTTGAGGCTTGAAAGTTCTGAGTTATGCTTATCAATACTTCCCCCATCGAAAGCATTTCTAGTGCTCTTATAATTTTACATTTCATATTAAGTCTTTTTTCTTTTTTTGAGACAGAGTCTCACTCTGTTGCCCAGGCTAAAGTGAGTGCCATGGCGTCAGCCTAGCTCACAGCAACCTCAAACTCCTGGGCTCAAGCAATCCTCTTGCCTCAGCCTCCCGAGTAGCTGGGACTACAGGCATGCGCCACCATGCCCGGCTAATTTTTTCTCTCTATATATATTAGTTGGCCAATTAATTTCTTTCTATTTATAGTAGAGACGGGTCTCACTCTTGCTCAGGCTGGTTTTGAACTCCTGAACTTGAGCAATCAGCCCAGACTGGGCCTCCCAGAGTGCTAGGATTACAGGCATGAGCCACCGTGCCCAGCCTCATATAAAGTCTTTGATATATCTAGAAAAGATTTGAATATAATTAAGATTTGGTGCCTACATCCCCCACCCCATGGTGGGGAAAATGTCCCCAACCTCACGAATGAAGTGTGCAAGGGCTCATCATCTCAGGGTTTTTGCACAATCTGGATTTTATGTTAGGGTCTTTGGAGACCTTTGAGAATGTCAATTCCCTGGGAACAGCTTATTTTAAGGTGTTTTGATACCGAAAGGTCTTTGGGAAGGTCTGTTTGGGATGGTTTGCTCATGTAGTCTTTGGGTATTTGTCATCATGGTATCTTTGATGAAGTTTCTGGTAATGACTGCTATTGGGGGGCCTTGAAGGTGTTTAATTTGTCATTATTTCCCTATTTGGGAAAGTCTATTCTAGAGGGTCTCCCGGAAGGGTAGCTTCCCAACTCCCAGAATCCTCTTCTCTTCCCTGCAGGGTCCCTCTTCGCCGAGTGCACCCGGGACGCAGGTCCCTGAAGCCGCTGAGCGGATGGGGAGATCTGGCAGAGCCCCCCAGCTTGGGGGCCTCGTCCCGGGGGGACAAGCCCGGTTTTATGCCTCTCACCAAGTACATGGATGTGAGTCACAGCCCTGCACAGCCGCCACCCCATGCCCTCCAGCCAAACCCTCAATGTCGCTCTCTGTGCCTCAGGTCCAGTATTTTGGGGAAATTGGGCTGGGAACGCCTCCACAAAACTTCTCGGTCGTCTTTGACACTGGCTCCTCCAACCTCTGGGTCCCGTCCAGGAGATGCTACTTCTTCAGCCTGCCCTGCTGTGAGCTCTCATGGGGGAGAACAAGGCTGAATCGGGGTGAAGGGAGAAGTGGGGGGCTGGGCCTCGGCCTCCCCCAGGCTTGGGAGGAACCATTCTTTTCTGAGGCCCTTACAGGTCAGAAGGTCAATGGGGCAGGAGGCATTGGGGAGCCTCCCCTCACCCAATGACATCTCTCTGGCCCTCTGTCCTAGGGTTCCACCACCGCTTCAATCCCAAAGCTTCTAGCTCCTTCCGGCCCAATGGCACCAAGTTTGCCATTCAGTATGGAACGGGGCGGCTGGACGGAATCCTGAGTGAGGACAAGCTGACCGTGCGTGGCCTTGGACTCCAGCAAGGCTTGCGCCTGGGAGCACCCCAAAGTCATCTGGATTAGGGAGGGGCTTGAGGAGGAGGGGCTTCCCGAGCAGATGGATGGAGCTTTTCAAGCGGGGAGGCGGGCCTTCCTGAGTGAAGGGGTGGGGCTTCCCAAGAGGGAGGTGGGGCTTCTTGGGTGGAGGGGCGGAGCTTCTCAAGCAGGGAGGCAAAGTTCCCTAGGCTGTTAGGGCTTTTTTCCAGATGACCTGGGATTCGTGCATTGGTTTGGAGGATCTCGGGGACATGTGGATAACGTCCTTCCAGAATTAACTGGCCGCATCTCAATCTACCCCTAGATTGGAGGAATCAAGGGTGCATCAGTGGTTTTTGGGGAAGCTCTGTGGGAGCCCAGCCTCGTCTTCACTTTTGCCCACTTCGACGGGATATTGGGACTCGGTTTTCCCATTCTGGCCGTGGAAGGAGTTCGGCCCCCGCTGGATATATTGGTGGAGCAGGGGCTACTGGATAAGCCTGTCTTCTCCTTTTATCTCAACAGGTATTCGGGGAGGGGCTACCTATCTATGACAGCTACCTGTCTATGAGTCTTATCCCCAAGAAGGAAGTTCGGCCCTCCTGTAGGAAGTCTCTTACCCAGTGAAGAAAGTTCCACCCTTGATTCAGGAAGTCACTGACCCAAAGCAGGAAGCCTCAACCTCTTTACTCTCCATTCAGGCAGCCATCCTTCCAACACAGAACACTCTGTCCTCCATTCAGGAAGTCACTTACTCAATATCAGAAACACCTGAACCCTATTCAGAAGTCCCCACTGTTCACATAGCAATTTGGGACACACTAAAGAAACTCACCAGCTGTTCAAAATACTCCATGTTTCAAAATCAAGACAGGAAATTCCATGCCCCACCCAACCAAATACTCAACTTAGGAACCCTCTCTTCACCATAAAGAAAGTTCAAATTCCATCTGAGACCACTTACCAGAAGTCAGAAAGTCCCACCCACCTTTTGGGAAACTCAGTCTTATGCCCCCAAAGTCCCACCCACCATCCAAGAAGTCTCTGCCTTCCCTCCCGGAGGCCTGTCACCACAGTCAGAAAATTCTGTTACAGTCAAAAAACCCTATGCGGATTCAGTTAACCCAACCTTGAACTCACTCAAGAAGTCCCACCTACTTCTTAGTAGATAGATCCCACCCTCCTACACCTTCCCGGAAGTCCCCACGCCCTCTTCCCATCACTCTTGGCCAACTCAGGAAGTTAACACCTCTCTAGATACCAGGACAAGCAATTCAGAAAGTCTCACTACCTACCCAGGAAGCCACCCCAGCCCTGCACAAGTCACACCCTCAAGAGCCAATTCAGAAATTCCACAGCTCCACTGGGTTACTATGATATGCAACTCAGGGAATTTCCCCCCAAAAGTTCTAACTTCCACAGCCAAACCCAGAACTCCCATCCCCCAATTCAGGAAGTTCACGCCGCTCCAAAGTCCTAACCTCCATCAGGAAAAGTCCCGTTTCCCTTCGCTTCTGGCCTTGGTTACAGGCCCACCACCCCACCTAGAACCCCGGAAATGACCCAGTTGGCAGGAAGTCGCATCACTGGCCACTCCTAGGCCAGTGACGCTGACAGCACTCTGCCTCCGCAGGGACCCTGATGTGGCTGACGGAGGAGAGCTGGTCCTGGGGGGCTCAGACCCAGCACACTACATCCCGCCCCTCACCTTCGTGCCAGTCACGGTCCCTGCCTACTGGCAGATCCACATGGAGCGGTGAGGGACTTGGCCTTCTGGGCCTGGAGCTGGGGTTGGGGCCTGCACTGCTAGGACCCTGCCTCTAATGACTGCCCCCTTCTCCCTCCCAGTGTGAAGGTGGGCACGGGGCTGACTCTCTGTGCCCGGGGCTGTGCTGCCATCCTGGATACGGGCACTTCTCTCATCACAGGACCCACTGGGGAGATCCGGGCCTTGAATGCTGCCATTGGGGGAATTCCCCTGCTGGCTGGGGAGGTACGGTCCCAGTCCCCGGTGGGTGTGGGCTGGAGAGTCTGACAGCAATTTGATGGTGACCACTGCGGCCCGAGGGTGGGAAGCAGGTAGGAAGCGGGGATTCCAGGGCAGAAGGGACTGGTACTCATGAGTGATGGGCTGGAGGGTAATGGGAGGGAGCAAGGACACTTCCCAGGTGTTTATCCTGAGTGACTCAGTGGATGGGAGAGGGGATGACAATGCAGGTTTATTTAGGCTTGGGTGACAGAAGCCTAGGCAACAGGCTTGTCCACACCGGGCGCTGAATGCTTAGGTGCACTGTACGGACATCACCCTATGGCACTCGGGTGCCACGAAAGGGATTTGGGCAGAGCAGGACTCTCCCATCTTTACTTGTTCCTCTTCTCCTCTAGTACCTCATCCAGTGCTCGAAAATCCCAACGCTCCCCCCAGTCTCCTTCCTCCTTGGCGGAGCTTGGTTTAACCTCACGGCCAAGGACTATGTCATCCAGGTAGGTGGCTGTCACAGTGATGTCATATGACTGGATGTGAGAGGGTAGGGCTGGGAGTGAGAGTGCACCAGGACGGGTCGGGGCCACGCAGACGTTCTTTGGTCCAGGAGTCGAGCGCGGGGCGAAGCACTGGCTCCGGGGAAACGGCCCGTGTGTAACATCCCGCTGTCCTGTCTTGCTGCGCGCAGATTGCTCTGGGCGGCGTCCGTCTCTGCTTGTCCGGCTTCCAGGCCTTGGACATGCCCCCGCCTGCAGGGCCTCTCTGGATTCTCGGCGACGTCTTCTTGGGAACCTACGTAGCCGTCTTCGACCGCGGGGACACACACGACAGTGCCCGAGTGGGCCTGGCCCGCGCGCGGCCTCGCCAGGCGGGGCAGCGAGGGGGCGGGCCCGCGCAGGCGCAGTTCTCCGGTGGCCGCCCTCGTTGAGCGCAAGCACCCAGGGTGCTAGCGGAGGTGTCACTACCCGGTAAAAACCCGCTATTTCCATTGAACGAACCTGGCTGGGCTGCTTCTTTTACGTGCGTGATGTTTAGAGAGAAAAGTTAGTGTCTGGACCTCCGTAGCTGAGGAGGAGAGGGCCGGGAAACATACCGCCTTTTTTCTCCAAGGCTAACACTGGTGAGGGGGTCTTATACTACGAATCCCATGAAGCCCCTCGTCCACACTGCCTCTCGTCAAAGGCGCCCGGCACCGCGGAGCATCACGGGCGTTGTAGTCCATACTGTGTTCACGCCCTGGCGGAGGCAGGCGCAGCCACAACATGCGTGGGAGGCGACAGGTCGCGACGGCAGCGACAGGTGGCAGTGGGGGGTGGCTGAAATCGGTAAAGGGTTTCCCAACCTTTGTTTTAAGCGGAGGGGATACCATTCCCGCGGACCTCGTCTCCTGTTCCTTCTCTCTCCCCTTGGGATTCCAGGACCCCTGGGTCCGCCATAAAGGCGGAGCCTGAAGCCCCCGGTTGGGGGAAGCGGTGCTGCCCCTCCTCCGGCGGTGATGTCATTCCCCCCTCCGCAGCCTCATGCTGTCCGGAGCTGCCAGGGCTGGGTCACCCCTCCCCCCATCTCCAGCCCGGGATCCCCCCATCCCCGCCTCGCCTCGACTTGGGGTGAGTACGGGGGAGGGGGCGAAGGCTCAGGGTCCGGGGACGGTAAGACAGCCCAAATCTCAGTTTTGGAGGCGGGGGACTCGGGAGACGGAGACCCAAAGATTAGAGCGGAGATTCCCCTTGATTCAGAGCTTTGGGACCAAGGTACTTGGAGGGTCTCGGGGGACCAAAGATGGTACGCAGGGAGTCCCTGTGTTGTCAGCTTTAGTGCCTGGAGGTCCCCTTTTCTGGATTCGGAGCTGATAGGAATGGGAGTGGAGGAACAAGGAAGGAGTCCTAGAGGTCAGGGAGGGGAAGACCCTTCCCCAATTCCAGGGCCTTAGAGAATGGGGGAGGAAACGCTGGAAGAGGGCACTGACGATGACGGAGCTTGGAGTTGAAGCTTTCAGGAATTTTGTGCCTTGAGGGCCTGGGAAAGGATCGGTTGGGGAGGAGCAGGAGTGAGGAAAGGATCTGAAAACGTAGACAGACATTGGCCTCTCCTCCCCTGGTGTCTGTTGCCAAAAATAGAGTCCACTTCTCCCTAGTCTGTGAACACAGCTGGGTGTCCTGTACCCTGAGCCCCCATCATGTCTCCAGAAGCCCCCTCCTCCCTGATGGGTGGGTGGAGAATTCAGACTCCGGTGGGGTCTGGGGAGGACCAGGAGGGAGTGATGGCATCCAGATTTCTCAGGCCTGATGGAGTCTGGACCACCCTGTTACTCTTTGCCCACTGCCTCTTCCCATCGTCCATCTTCTCTAATCCTAAATCTCATCCCCTATTCTCCCTGTTCCAGCTCCTTTTCCCCCCCCACCCCCCCCTTTTTCCCCCCCTTTTTGCCTTTTGCAAAAAATTGTTGTTTTGTTACTTTGTTCCGTGCCTGGCTGCTATTAAAAGCGGAAGAGAAAAGTAGGGTTGGGGGAGAATGTAAGGGAAGATAGCTGACTTGGTCCTTACCCTAGAGCCTAGCCTACACTCCCAGCCCCTAGGGCCTACCCAACTCTGCTCCAGCCTCCATCCGGTCCCCAACTTTCCCAGGAGCCTCACTCAACCCCAGCCCAGTCCCTCACCTCAGGATTCCCTGCTTCTGCCTGGGGGCACATCAGAATTTGGGGCAGGAAGGGGTAGGAAGTGCTTAGGTCTTTTCTCAGCCGTTTTGGGTCCCATCAGAGGCTTAATGGCTGGCCGAGGATCCTGGATACTGGACTGGGAGCAATGGGAGAGCCCAGGGTCTGGAGAGTGAGAGAAATCACCTCCCTGGTCTGCAGAACAGGCCCCACTTCTGCAACTCTCTCTGCAGTGACGCAGTCCCAGCCAGGATAGGGATTAGAGAGGTGATGGGAGGACTTCTGAGAAAGGAAGAGAGACCTAGAGAGGGGACAGAAACCGAAAGAGAGGGGGATAGAGTCCCAAAGAAGTAGAGACAGAGATATATAGAGAGACATAAAAGGGGGTGAGGCATGGGAGAAATAGAGACCCAGGGAGGTGACAGAGAGTAAGAGAAGGGGCAGAGACCCAGAGAGAAGGAGAAAGAGAGAGGACAGATAGCTAGAAAGGGCAGAGACAGAAGGGGTCAAGAGAGGGAAGAGGGGGAAAATATAGGGGGGAAGAATGGTCATCAGAGAACAAGAGGGAGGAGAGAGAGGCCCAGACAAAAGGGTAGAGACCCAGAGAGGGGAGAGGGGGGATGTGGGGGGCAAAGACACAAAGAGGGGGCAAAGACTCAGGGAGAGGGGGACAGAGTCCCAGAGAAAGGCACAACCTGATAAAAAGGTACAGAGACCAACAGAGAGAGACTAGGGGCGGGGGTATTGGGCGACTGAAACCTAGAGAGAGGAGGGGACAAAGACTCAGAAGGAGGGGACAGATATTCAGAGTCCCAGAGGGAGGGTAGAGACTCAGAGGGGTGGGGACAGAGACCGCGGGACAAATAGAGAAAGAGGAGAAAAAGGGACACCAAGAGACACAGAAACGGGAGCAGGTGTGGGGTGGGAAGGCGATACGAACCAGCTGCCGCACCTGCAGAGGGAGGCGGCGGGCCAGGGACTGTGCCGCCAGAGGGTGCCCGCAGCCCCTGACCCGCCCCCTTCACTCCCACAGGCGCCGCCTCCTCCCGCCGCAGCCGCAGCCGCAGCCGCTGGCCCCGCCCCAGCCCCTGCGCCTGCGCCCTGCCTCCCGGAGCCCAGGACAGCCCAGGGGGCGGGGCCGGCCCGCTCGTGGGCGGGCGATCTAGTTCTGGCCCCGCCCCTTAACCCACCATCTCCCCTGCAACCCCGGACCTCTCAGACGCCCAACCCGGTCCATCTTCCAGCTGTCCCGCCTATCGCCTTGTCCTAGACGGGGCTTCCGGGCGCTTTGGCCTCTCCCCTCCTCTCTGCCTCCCTTCGTGCTCCCCCCTCACCAGCCCTTACCCGTTCCTTGGTCCTCCCATCTGCAGTCCTCCGTTGTCCAGGCTTCCACCAGCTGGAAGCTCTCGCCCCACTAAGGCTCCGCTGACCTTTAGTCAGGCCCCTGTCCCAGGCTGTCTGACCCCCAAGACTCTCCACTCCAGGTCCCTTCCCCTCGTCCAGCCCGGGACTTTCCACTCTTTGCAAGTGTCACTTTTCCCTGGCGCCCCTCTCCCCTCTCTTAGCTCTGCCCGCCCCCGCCCACCCTGGTTGCTTCCAAGCCCCTTAAAGCCCCGCTTGTCCCTTAGTCGCTCCTCCCCACAGCCCTTTCCAGACGCTTTCTGCCTTCTGCAGCCCCCACCTGCTTTCCTCAATCCCGCCTGATCCATCCGGACACGCACCCCGGCCCAGTCCCATCGAAGCAGGCCACGCTTGCAGCCTCCGCCCGCCCCTCCGTGTCTTCCCCAGCCGCTCTCAGGTCCCCAGGCCTCGGTCATCTTCCTCCTCTCACCGGCCTCAGGCTCTGTCCCCCCACCCCCGTCTTGTCTCCTTTTGGTCCGGCTGGTCCCCTCCTGTGGGAAAGTGCTCCATCTTCACTTCCCGCCTCCAGTGCGGTCCCGCCCCCTCACGCTCCCGGCCCAATCCGCGCCGTTTCTACTTTCTCCGGCCCGCCCCTTCTTAAGACCCAGCCCGCCCCTTACAAGCAATTTTCCTTCCCACCAGGGAAGTGTTTTAGGGGCGGGCGTTTGATCTCTCTCCTTTCCGCTCCCTCCTCAGTCCAATCAGAGCAGCCTTTCGCATTGTGGCCCCGCCCCTCCAGGCGGGTCAGGCTCCTTTAAATAGCTTGGACTTGCCCCACCCCCTCTGTCCCGCCCATCTCTTTTTTCAGTCCAATCAGGTCTCTTTGTCCCGCCCATCTCTTTTTTCAGTCCAATCAGGTCTCTTTCTAACATCCAGCCCTGCCTTCTCCATCCTCCTTGTCCTGCGGAACACGGTATTAGAGGCCGTCGCCGCCCCCTTTGACGCCCCACCCCGCCCCCATCGGTGGCCCCGCCTCCTCCAACTGGGCAGCGTTAGAGTCCCCGCCCCCTCCCCTCCTCCAGGCCAATCAGTTCGGTTTGTCCTCCCTGAGACGACGCCCTCTCCACCAAGCTCCTCCTCCCACCCAATCACGTCAGCCTGTCCCGCGCCCCGCCCCTCGAGGCCACGCCCACACAGCCCCGCCCCCCATCCAATGCTGAGCTCAGTCTGCGTCTCGTCCTTCCGCGGGCGCCAGGGGGCCAGCAAGCAGCAGCCGGCGCCACCGCCGCAGCCGCCCGAGTCCCCGCCGCCGCTGCCCCGCCGCTGCCACCGGCGCCGCTGCAGCAGCAGCAGCCTGCGCAGCCCGGCCCCGCCGCGTCCCCCGCGGCCCCCAGGCAACCCGCGGGCCCGGGGGCCAGCGCGCCGAGCCATGCCCCGGGCTGCCGGCGGCGGCCATGGGGCGGCACGGCGGCGGCGGTGGCGACAGCGGCAAGATCGTGATCAACGTGGGCGGCGTGCGCCATGAGACGTACCGCTCGACGCTGCGTACCCTGCCGGGGACGCGGCTGGCAGGCCTGACGGAGCCGGAGGCTGCGGCGCGCTTCGACTACGACCCGGGCGCCGACGAGTTCTTCTTCGACCGGCACCCGGGAGTCTTCGCCTACGTGCTCAACTACTACCGCACCGGCAAGCTGCACTGCCCGGCAGACGTGTGCGGGCCTCTCTTCGAGGAGGAGCTTGGCTTCTGGGGCATCGACGAGACCGACGTGGAGGCCTGCTGCTGGATGACCTACCGGCAGCACCGAGATGCCGAGGAGGCGCTCGACTCCTTCGAGGCACCCGACTCTGCGGGCGCCGCCAACGCCAACGCCGCGGGCGCCCACGACGGAGGCTTGGACGACGAGGCGGGTGCGGGCGGCGGCGGACTGGACGGTGCGGGCGGCGAGCTCAAGCGCCTCTGCTTCCAGGACGCGGGCGGCGGCGCCGGGGGACCGCCGGGGGGCGCGGGCGGCGCGGGCGGCACTTGGTGGCGCCGCTGGCAGCCCCGCGTGTGGGCGCTCTTCGAGGACCCCTACTCGTCGCGGGCCGCCAGGGTGAGCGCACTCTCGGAGTCCCCATCCACCCCACTCCCGCTTCTCCGGGTGCCCCCAGACTCTCAGGAGCGCCCCAGCCCAACCCTCAGCATCTCGCGGCCCATCCCAACCTCCCCTGGTCTCTCCAGGCCTCCCAGTGTCTTAGAAGCCTCTTCCCCTTGTCCTGAGTCCTCTGTGCTCCTCTGAACACACCCCCTCTCCGGGCCATAGACTCTCCTAGATCCCCCCAAATACCACCCCGCTTCTTCTGGCCACCCTAGACCCTTAGAAACTTTCTACCCACCCTGAATGCCCTTGGCTCCTCTGAACACCCTCAACCTTGCTTTTCCTGGACCCCTCAGAGGCCCTCAGAAGACCTCCTGGTCCTGAGGCTCCTGAGCCCCTCCAAACCTCTTCTCACCGCTCTTGGCCACCCTCCAGCCCTCAATGTCTTGGACCGTCCCCAGTCCCTCAGAAGACATCCTTTCCCAACCCTCAGGGACCCAAGCTCTGTGAACACTGTCCCTCCACTTTCCCACCTGCCCCCTCCAGACTCTCTGCAACCCCCTCTTCAGCTCTCAGTCTCTCCCAACACCTTGCTGATTCTCTTTGGCCCCTCTCCCAGAGACCTCTCTCCAAGTTTGCACTGCCTGGGTATCCCCCCACCCACCTTTTCTCTTCTCATTCTCAGAAGACTCCCCCATCCCAACCTGGGCACCTCCTGGACCCCTCTGAACCTACAAAGCACTTAACTCTAGCCAGGACACTTCCCCCTCCCCCTCATTGCAACACTGAGTCTTGGGGCACCTTCCCCCCAACCTCCCAGCCCCCTCTGTGCTCACTCTTTTCTGGCATCCTCATCAACTCCCATCCCAAGGACTTTCCCCATAAAGCCCCAGACTTTTCCCAAGCCTTTCGCACTCCTTAGTGTGTCTCCGGGAGCCCCCACGGTATGCCTTTCCTCTGCAGAGCCCCCATGTGTCCCCCAGAACTGCTCTTCCTCTTCCACAGACTCTTGCAGCTTTGCTCGTCCATCGTTTAAACTGCGCAGCCCACTCTATCTCCGGGCTCCCCTCTCCTTAGCTCCCTGTCCCTGTCCCCTTTGCTATTCTGTTAAGTGACTTTCCCTCCTGCTCCAGAACTTTATTGAACCTCAAAGCGTGGGCCCCTCCCCTCCTCAAGTCATCAGCCCCACAACTTTCATCTCCAAATAGCTTTCACTTCTTTCTCCCCTGCCTTGGGATCTTTCCACCTGCCCCGCCCCCTGCCCCTGCCCTGCCATCTCCCTTTCTCAAGCTCTCCTGGTCCAAAGCCCAGGACCGGGCCCCTCAGGCTCTCTTCCACCAGAGTGAACCTAAGAGCCCACACCCAGCCTTGCCTTTCCTCCAGCCTTATCTGCCTCAAAATTCCACATATCCCCCAAAGCTCTCTCCATCTTTCCCAGAAAACTTTCCTCAAGCCTCTGTAACTTGCCAGGCTAAATGGCTACCCTCCCCCCTCGTTCTTCCCTGAACCTCTTCCTCCTAGTAACTTCCTCCCTGTCCCACAGACCCCGGAGGGAGAAAGTGGGAGAAAAGAGGGAGGCAGTCCAAAGTGGGGGGAATTGGAAAGAGGGGGGAAGAGGAACAATCCCAAGGCCCCTCCTAGGCTCCTGGCGACCCAAGCACCCGAGGAGCAGGTCCCGGCCCCCTCCCCCCACCGTGCCGCGTCCTGGGCTAGAAGGACGCGGAGCCGCAGTGCCGCATTCGCCGGGGGAGGGAGGGAGGGGGAGGGGGGCCGGAGACGCAGCATAAAGTTTGGTCCCTGGGAAGCGCTGAGTTGGCGAGATTTGGGGTTGAGTGGGGGGAGGTGGAGAATAGGAGGTGCAGAAGGGACATGGCCCTAGATGCCCCCTCAGGCCTCTGAGCGGCTCCTTCCCTCGGTCGCCTGGGGTGCCCTTCCCTCCTCTGACTCCACTGAAGGGTGCTGAGGTGAGGGGGAGAATGAAGGTAGAGTCTTCCTGTGATGTTCGGGCTCAGGGTCTGGGACAGCTACGGAGGTTATTCATTTACTCCACAAATGTTTTTGAGTGTCCACGGTGTGCCAAGCACTTTCTAGCCTCCAAGTGAGATTGCTTGGGGGAGTTGAGAGCTGAGGCCAATCCTCCTACCCCTTTAGCTTTTGAGCCACCCTGGGGCAAAGGGTTAAACTAGCCCGACGCAGTCCAGCCTCTGCAGCTGCGCACTGCGGCGGGTGCCCACCTTCCCTTTGCCCTGGGAGGGAAGGAGTTAATCAAGCTCCTGGCCCGGGGCCTCCCACCGGGAAGCAGCAGCACTGCGGCTGCGCACTGCCTGCTTGGCTCCGGCCCGAAGGAGTTAAGACGGTGCCCAGCTGGTGCGGCTGCGCAGTGCGGCGGGGGAGCTGTCCGCGGTGCTGGCCGCCGTGTGCCCCGCCCCCCGGCCAGCCGGCCCGCCCCCACTGCGGTGCCGCAGCCTGCTCCGCGCGCCCCGCTCGGAGGGGGCGGGGAAGCACCGGGCATGCGCTCTGCGGAGGCCTCTGGCCTCTTAAACCACTGCAGAGAAACGAAGACCTGGGTGCAGAGAGGGCCAGCGCTGACCCCCTGCCCACACCAAGGTCCAGGACCCTCTCTGTGCCCCCGACACTGTCCCGCCCCCACTCTGCACTTCAGATTAAAGTCAAGGCCTCCCTGGCCCAGAGACCCGCTACCACCCCGTGGAGGAAGCTGGATGCAAAGGGACAGTGCTGGCCCTTGGCCCACTCCAAGGCCCGGGGTCCTCTCTGAGGCCCAACACTGGCCTTCCCCCTGTGCTGCCCATCTGATTAAAGCCCCCTCTTTGGGTCTCAAGTATGCATGAAAAAAAACAAAATCAAACCCTGTTTACTCCAATACCTATCTTCCTTCCCTCTCCAAGGTTCTCCTTTCCCCCACCCTCTACAGATCTGATCAAGCCCACTGTCACCCCCAGGGGCCTGACCGTTCCTCTCCTTCTCCAGACCTTGACCCTGCTCCTCCTCTCCAAGGCTCTCATGAAAACCCACGCTACTGTGCAGCAGGACTCTGGTCCTCCCCCTACCTTGATATGGCCCTGGAACCTCCCTCCCAATTCTCTGCACCTCTGAAAAATGATGCCCCCCACCTCTCTTTGGCCTGGGCACTGTCCTCTCCACACTGACTCCCCCTTCCTCTCCAGATCCTTAAAGTCCTGCCCCTTTCTCCTGTAGCCTCTTCTCTTTTGGCAGCCTTAACCCTTTAACCCCACCCCTATACAGAGCCCTGACCCCCCCCACCCCTCTATAGTTCCACCCCTCCCCTGTCCTCTCTGGGGGAGGCCTCAACCTTGCCCCCCACTGACTGATGCTCCCATACCCTAATAACAGCTCAGACCTGCTTACTGTGTTCTAGGCACCGGGCCAAGCACTGCTTTTGGAGCCAAGCCCTTTGTACACTCATCTGCTTTAATCCTCACAACACTCTCGTAAAAATATGAGGTTCAGAAAGCTCAGTCTCCTTGCCAAGTCTGGCAGGTTAAAAGCCAGATTCAAACCCAGACTTTCTGACTCTTAAGCACCTCTTGATTCTGCCTCCCCACCCACCTTCCCCACCTCCCCTTCCCCCAGCTCCAAGCTGAGCCCCAAACCCTCTGAGGAAGAGGGTGTGTGACCTTAGGCCCCCTGGCCCCTGTCATATGGCAGAACCCTTGGACCCTGCCAGGGAACCCTGAGATAGGACACAGGGAACAGGAGTGTGGGGGGAGGTGGTCTAGGAGACAGCGAGGGGCCAGGATGCTGTTGCCAAGGAAAGAACTGCCCATCTGCTGCGTCTGCTGGGGCCAGCTCCTCTCCCACTGCTTCTGTTCCTTCCTCTCCCCTGTTGTTAGCTTTAAAGGGGACAACAGGATGCTAGAAGGGAAGGAGCCAGAGGGTTGGGACACCTGCATTCCACCTGGAGCTTGAGCCTAGGAAGCTGGGGAGGGGGGCATTTGGAATGGTTTTCTGAAGGTTCTGGTCAACCTGATGCCTAGGTCACCTCTCCCCCTCTCTCTCCTGCCCCACCCCACAGTATGTGGCCTTCGCCTCGCTCTTCTTCATCCTCATCTCCATCACCACCTTCTGCCTGGAGACCCATGAGGGCTTCATCCACATCAGCAACAAGACGGTGACGCAGGCCTCTCCGATCCCCGGGGCTCCGCCGGAGAACATCACGAACGTGGAGGTGGAGACGGAGCCCTTCCTGACCTACGTGGAGGGCGTGTGCGTGGTCTGGTTCACCTTCGAGTTCCTCATGCGCATCACCTTCTGCCCGGACAAGGTGGAGTTTCTCAAGAGCAGCCTCAACATCATCGACTGTGTCGCCATCCTGCCCTTCTACCTGGAGGTGGGCCTCTCGGGGCTCAGCTCCAAGGCCGCCAAAGACGTGCTGGGCTTCCTCCGGGTCGTGCGCTTCGTCCGCATCCTGCGCATCTTCAAGTTGACCCGGCACTTCGTGGGGCTGCGTGTGCTGGGCCACACGCTCCGCGCCAGCACCAACGAGTTCCTGCTGCTCATCATCTTCCTGGCCCTGGGGGTGCTCATCTTTGCCACCATGATCTACTACGCGGAGCGCATTGGCGCCGACCCTGATGACATCCTGGGCTCCAACCACACCTACTTCAAGAACATCCCCATTGGCTTCTGGTGGGCTGTGGTCACCATGACGACCCTGGGCTATGGAGACATGTACCCCAAGACGTGGTCAGGCATGCTGGTCGGGGCGCTGTGTGCTCTGGCGGGGGTGCTCACCATCGCCATGCCTGTGCCCGTCATTGTCAACAACTTTGGCATGTACTATTCGCTGGCCATGGCCAAGCAGAAGCTGCCCAAGAAGAAGAACAAACACATCCCCCGGCCCCCGCAGCCTGGCTCGCCCAACTACTGCAAGCCTGACCCACCCCCGCCACCTCCGCCCCACCCTCACCACGGCAGCGGCGGCATCAGCCCCCCGCCACCCATCACGCCGCCCTCCATGGGGGTGACTGTGGCCGGAGCCTACCCCCCGGGGCCCCACACGCACCCCGGGCTGCTCAGGGGGGGAGCGGGGGGGCTGGGGATCATGGGGCTGCCTCCTCTGCCGGCCCCTGGCGAGCCTTGCCCGTTGGCCCAGGAGGAGGTGATTGAGATCAACCGGGCAGGTGAGGCCGGGCGTGAGGGCGGGGCCGGGGGACACGGGTGGGGGCCTGTGGGAGGATGGGGAGGAAGTGGCCGAGGTTCCGAGACCCAGTGGCCAGCAGCAGAGAGGGGAGAGAGGAGAAAGGGGCAGCTAGAGCTCCAGCCAGGGAGGAGGCACGGGCAGACGTAGACCTGGAGTGAGCATTGTGGGGAGAAACTGACTCGAGCTAGGCGTGCGGAGGGGCCAGCGAGGCAGAGGGCGGCCGAGAGCTCAGGTTTTAACAACAGTGAGACCACGAAGGGAAGACAGGCTTCCAGACTAAGAGTCAGAGGGCAGGGGGACAGGAGGAGGACTTGGAAACCAGGCCCCGTGGGCTTTGCTGGGGGCAGCCTGAGAGGGGCTGGGAGAGAGATGGGTGATGTTGCTGAGAGGAAGAGATGGAGCAGGGGCGAGGTGGGGGGAGAAGGTTGACTGCGTGTGCGTGTGTGTGCGCGTCCCTGGGGGAGTCCGTGCCTCCCAGGCAGAGACGGTGTCTGGAGGGAGGGCGAGGCTGCGTGCCCCACCCCCCAAGCCTTAAGTAGGTCGAGAAAGGGAGCGGGGCCGCCTGGCCCCCATCTTGCTCCCTCAGCCACTGACCCAGTTTCACACCAATTAAAAATAGCTCGAGTCAGAGCCTCGGGGACCCCCACCGCCCCCCTATCTATCACCTTCCCAGCCCTCCGCCAGTGCCCTTCCCAGCACCCAGCTCGCGTCCCCAGCAGCCACTTCCCAGCCCTCCGCACCCTCTGCAACCTGCCTGCCACCGGCCCCAGCCTAGCCCACCACGTTCACTCCAGCCAACCACCCACCCGGCGCCCAGCTGGCTGTCCCCAACCCGCCCTCCAGACACCCCACACCCAGCGGCCACCTGGCCTGCCACTTCCTAGCACTCCACCCTCCCTCAACCAGCCACTGCAACATCCACCCTGCACACCCTGCTCCATGGTCACCCCTCTGCACAGCCGCCACGCCCTCCCGATAGCCCACTCTCACTGTGCCCTTCCCAACACCTTGGCCTTGATCTCCGCTTCAGCACCCACTCGGACCTCCGCGCCCCCAGCGCGAGTCCCCACCCCTCACTCTCTCCTTTGTGTCTCTGTCTGATCCCCTTGGGATGCAGATCCCCGCCCCAATGGGGACCCGGCGGCAGCTGCACTTGCCCACGAGGACTGCCCAGCCATCGACCAGCCCGCCATGTCTCCGGAGGACAAGAGCCCCATCACCCCCGGAAGCCGGGGCCGCTACAGCCGGGACCGGGCCTGCTTCCTCCTCACCGACTACGCCCCTTCCCCTGATGGCTCCATCCGGAAAGGTGAGGCCCATCCGCTGCCCCTGGGACCCTCCCTCTCTCCCCGGCCCAGGGGAGGGAGGAGAGGGTGATGGGGGCGGAGGCGCTGGACTTCCCTTCCCTCCTCCCTCCCAGATACCCCCACCTGCCCAAGTCTCCTTACCACTGACCCTTCACCTGTCTTTATTCCATCTCCATTTCCCCTCCCCTTTGGCCTCTTCCCCAACCCCCAGCCACCGGTGCTCCCCCACTGACCCCCCTAGACTGGCGTAAGCCAGGCCCCCCAAGCTTCTTGCCCGACCTCAACGCCAACGCTGCGGCCTGGATATCCCCCTAGTGGACGAACCCCCTCCCCCCGGGGTAAGTAGCCCCCACCCTCTGATCCCCCCGACTCCCCCTCCCTCCTGACTAACCCCTCTGAGAACATGCGTCCCCCACTGACCCACTGACCGAGGCTCCTGCCCCCCACTAAACAGCTCATCCACTTAACCCCAGCGCCTGACACTGTGCCCCCCACCCAGGACACACCCTGCCCCCCCCACTAACCCCCAGCACTAACCCCAACCCTGCCTCCCACCCCTAACCCTGCCCTCCACCCTGCCCTCACGACGGAGCCCCATCCTGCCCCATCCACATCTCTGCACCCCCTGCCATCTGATTTTTTTTCATTCCATCAGGAAAAGCCCCGGGACACTTTTCTGGGTGCAGGATGGGGTGAGAAAGGCTCAGCTGCCTGCCCACTCCCCTGCGAAGCCAGCCAGCACTCAGCACCCACGTGCCCCGGGTGCTGGGCACAGGGAGCTCAGCCGTGAACAAAATCCACCCCCTCCAGGAGCTTCCAGTCTGGATGGGGAGGCAGACACAGACCTAGAAAGTCACTGTTGAGGTGACACACGCTCCGATGGAGGCAGCATAGGCAGCGCAGTAGAGGAACACACAAAGCTTCCCAGGGCGGACGGGGCATGGGGACTCCAGATGACTAGGGTGAGACGTACACACAGCAGGGTTCTGCCAGCTGCCGGGCAGTTCCCGTTAGTAAAGACTAGAGGGAACTACACAAAAAGCCTGGGAGCCATGTCCTAGAGGGAGAGGGACTAGGAGGCAGAGATCTGGCAGGGAAGCAGCAGCCAGGCTGGTGGCTGGGACCTTGTCCAGGAGCAGGGACAGGCTGGGGACTGAAGGCTGTGCCAAGGTGAGGGGGACAGGAAGACACCAGCAAGCTCTTACCACATGCTAGATATGGGGAGATATTTTATATAACATATATTGTTTCGTCCTGTTAATAAGAACCCTAGCCAGCCTCTAGCTCCTTTCCTTCATGTATTCATTCATTCATTCGGCAACCAATCTAATCCTTATGTGAGCAGTGCCAGGCAGTGTAGCTTGCAGTGCACAAAGCAAGCATCTATTGCCATCACAGCTTCCAGTCTCCCATCCACGTACTAACCGGGCCCGACCCTGCTTAGCTTCTGAGCTCAGATGAGATTGGGAAGCGTCCAGCCTAAAGCCTAGGCTGTCAAACTAACTATACAGCCGGAGGGCCAAACCTTTCAGCCAACTGTTTTTGTAAATAAAACTTTATTGAAACACAGCCCGTGTTAGGGCGAGCACAGCAGAGTGCAATAATTGTGACAGAGACAGTATGGCCCCTGTAGCCAAAAAGACTTACTATCTGCCACCCTCTGATGGGAGGAAGCAGAAAATAAGAAAAAGAGAAAAGCACAAGCTAGTTACTCTGGCCGTGTTCGTTAAGGAGGTCTGCAGAGGATTTCTTTCAGGAGGTGACATGAAACCTGAAGGGTGCGAAGGGCCAGCCAGGCGGAAGGAGCAGGGAGTGCGACAGGCCCTGAGGTGCTGGGTGGCCTGGGCTGGGCTTGTTAAAGAACAGCAGGGAGGGCAGTGTGGCTGCAGCCAAGAGGCAGAGGGGACAGGGGCGCAGGAGGAGCCTGGGGAGAAAGGTCATGATGGGTGTTGTCGCCATGGTGAGCAGGCTGGATTTGATCTTAGATGTGACGGGGAGCCACCTGAAGGTATTTGATCCTTCTCTTATTCCACAAACCTGTGGACCCTTCCTTAGAAATAGACACATCCTAGGGGCTCTCTGCCCGCAGCCTAAGGAGATGCCCCGGGGAAGCCTGGGGAGCCCCCGGGATGGCCTTGGCCAAACCCTCACATTTCACAGGCGTTCAGGGAGGGCCGTGGCCAACCACCCCAGGCCACAGAGCAGATGGGACAAGAACTAGGTTTCCGGGCTCCTGGTCCAGAGGGGACTGCCTGGCTCCTCTGGTTGCACCCCTCCACCTCTCCTTTTTGCCCCCCCCACCATCGTCCATTTTCATCTCATTCCCACCCCCTCCCCGCTCCCATCTAACCCACCCCTGCTTGCGCCCAGTCCTTTTTACTCCCCTTTGTTCCCCACCCCCAGGTCTGGAGGGCCCCGTGGAATTAATGGGGAGGGGTTTGGGACAGATTTGGGAATTCGGGTGGGGGAGGATTAGGGTGGGGGGCTGGGTGGGGGAGGTCCCTGCTTCTCTTGCCTATGATGCCAAAATCCATTCATTGAACTCAAATCATGGCTGGAGCTGATGGGGCTGACTGAACCTGCCTCCGATGCCCCTCCCCTGCCCCACGCCCCTCTTCCTCCTATCCTGCCCCAAGACCCTCTTCCTCCTATCCTGCCCCACGCCCCTCTTCCTCCTATCCTGCCCCACGCCCCTCTTCCTCCTATCCTGCCCCACACCCCTCTTTCCCCTGTTGCCCCCACCTCTCTTTCCCGCAAGACTCTCTTCCACGACTTCCCTCCCCAACTGTCCCCACAAGGTCCTCTCTCCCAGCCTGCCCCCCACCCCTGCCCCTCTCTCCTATACCTTCCCTCTCCCACCGCCTAAGCCCAACACGCCCCACCTGGTTCCCATTTCCTCCCTCCCTCCTCTCCCCCCTCCCCTGCCCCTCCCGCCAGCCACCCCGGAAGCTCCGCCCATATTTGATGTCTCAGCTGCCCCCATTTCACTGCTCCCCTTCCCCCGGAAAACACCAGAGAGGAGGAAGAGATCCGGGCGTTTCTCCGTCCCCCCAACAGTGAGGCTGTGTTGGGGGGTTCCCCGATCCTCCTCCCCCCACGCCGTGACTCTTGTGTATTTCTGTCCCCAGCTCTTGTCACCGCCTGAGACCTCGCGAGACCCTCGGTCCCCCCCTGCCCCTTCCCCCCAGGTTAGCAATTGGGAATGGCTGGGAGGGGGTGTCCCCCAAGATACTCGGCTTCAACCCCCCCAAGCCCTCTCTCCCGCAGTCAAGACACCCCTGTCCAGACAGCCCCCTTGGCATTGCCTACAAACGCCACTGCACGCCCCCAGAGGCTGGCAGGGCCCCAAGCTTTGCAGAAACCACACACACTGGCCCTGGATCTTGGATCGCTTTAGCTACGAGGCACGTTGGAGGCCTCCCCTCACCCCGCAGACGCCCAAAGCCTTCTTGGACCCTTTAAAGATCCCCCCACCCCACTTAGAACCCTCAGATGACGCCTGCTCTTGGAGTTCTCCTCCTGACTCCATGACAGCACCGCCGACTTTGGCCCTTTCAGCCCCTCACAGACCCACCCGCCTTCCCTCTTCTCCCTACAACCAGGTTAGCCCCCACCTGGCGCCCCCCCTCCCGTTCCCCCCAAGCCCCCCGCGCCGGCTGCTCCCCCACATGCATTCCACCCGGCCCCCCATGCCCCTGCCGCCCACCATCTCGCCTCGCTGCCCCCCCTCTTTGCCTCAGGTGAGGGGGACCTACGGGGTGGGGGGCGGGAGGGGGTGGGGCCGTGGAGGGGGGCGGGGAGGCTCGGTGGACACCACCCCGCCTCCTAATCCTGAGTCTCTCCCCCCTCCCCAATGTCTCGACCTTCTTCGTCGATGCTGACTGACTCTCCGATTTGTTCGCTTTCTCTCTCCATCTCTCTCTCTCTCTCCATCGCCTCTGTCCCTCTCCGTCTCTTGCCATCTGTGTTCTGTGTCTCCGTGTCTCTCTCTGTCTTCCTCACCATCTCTGTCTCTGTCTCTCTGTCTGGTGTCTCTTGCCCTCTCTTTCCATCTCTCTGTCTCTTCTCCCTGCCTGGGGGTCGTTCTGTCTGCCCGACCGCCCCCATCTCCTCGCTCCTCCCGGTGTCTCTGCCTCCCTCCCCAGGTTACGAGAAATCCCGCAGCCTGAGCAGCATCGCGGGCCTGAGCGGGGTGTCCCTGCGCCTCGCGCCCCTTGCCACCCCCCCTGGCTCTCCCCGGGCCACCCGCCGCGCTCCCCCTACCCTGCCCTCCATCCTCTAGCGCTCCCCTCCCCCCTGTGGGGGGACTCGGGGGTGACCAGGAAGAAGGTCAAAGGAGCTGGGGGTGGGGGGGTGGGGAATGGGTTTTTTTTTTACAAAAAAAAATCAAAGTCAATAATATGCAAACGAGATGATGACGCCAGCAGACACCCCCGGGCCCCTCACCCCCCCACACCTGGGGCCCCAGGATGGAGGGAGAGGGGCCAAAGCCCATCCCCCCAACTCTTCCCTCCTCCCCCTAAAAAAAAAAAGCCTTCTCAGGTCTCCATGAGCCATAGGACACCCCCCTCCCATCGACTCAGTGTAAATAAGTCCAAATTATGCCAATTACATCTTGGGGCACCTCCCCCCACACTCTGCATGCCCCCTATCCTGGACCCCCTACTCCAACTCCACGTCAGCAATAAGCCGCCAGGGGCTGCACGCTCGAGTTTGAGGGAAGGGGCACCCTGGGAAGGAGGCTGGCCTCTCGAGGGGGGTCCGGCTGGCCTCCTACCCTTCATCCCAGGAGGGCAACCAACCATCCTGAGCAGGGAAAACAAAAACTTTGAATTACGTTGGGGGAGGGGGGACCGTTTCCCCAGGCCCCAACCGGGGGTTGGGTTCGGAGGTTGGGTTGCGGGTTGGGGTTGGGTTGCGGCTTGTTCCCCCGGCTTGCGGGGGGCCCCTTTTGTTGATTTTCCCCTTTTCTTCTCCCCCTTCCCCAGGGATCTGCTCGCCTCTATTCTTGCTGCATGGACTCAGACCTCCCATCCCAGATTTCCTGGGATGATTTGGCCCTAGCACACAAAGTCCCCCGCCCCCCCCCCATTCCCAGGACACGAGACCTGCACCCGGAATTCCTGAAACTGACCCTGGCGCCCCCCCCCCAATCCCCACACACTCCTGGGACTTAACCTCTGCACACCAACGCTATCCAAACACCCCCACCGAATTCTCTGGACTGCATCCCAGCACTTCTCAGACCTCCAAGACTTCACCCAGCTCTTCAGCTCAATTTCAGCCTTTGGGATGCTCCAAGTCCTTCCCACAACTCTGACATTTCCTGGACACCCCAAATCCTCAGGCCTGCTCTCCCAGACACCCCCCAAATTCCCAACATCAGTCATCCACCCGAGGTTCCCCTGAGGCTAGAACTCCCAAGATAGGCTCTACTCGGCTGCAATCCCAGGGAACCCAGGCACCTCCCTCTCTCAAGCCTAACCCTCCCCGTACCCCCAAAGCCCCTTCCCTAAGATGGTGCCCAATACTTACCCTCTTCAGCGACACCAGTTTCCCAGAGGGTCATAGTCGTACCCCTGGCGGTGTGCTAAAGTTTTAGGCAGTACTAGGGCAAACACTTGCTTTAAAAAGTTTTGTCTTTAATGTGCACATTCTGCACATAAGCCTGTACCTCCAGGTATTGCTGCTCGGCTAGGACAGCGTTTATTTAGGTTAAAAGTGTTTCCATTTAAAGTAGTCCACAAGCGATCCTGCAGACTGCTCGAGTGGGGCAACGCTGGCTTATCGGAGGCCTGGGAAACGACACGCAACCCTGCTGCCACCCAGCCCTCCCCTCCCCGCATCCCTCGCCGCGCCGCGCTCGCGGGTGGAAAATCACCTCTGACATCCCATCCTGGCTCAAGGATGCGCTACCTCCCCCAAGCCCAGAGACCACACCGGTCCCAGAATCCTTAGCGGACCCCCTCTTTTGGAGCCGGGGGCCCACGGAATTAGCAACCTCCCTCTGCTCCCACGGCCTCAGGAATCCCTCCCCCCACCTGAGGGTGGGCGAGGGGCGACACTGAGCGTGATTCTTGATGCAACGATTCCTATGCAAGGGGCATTTTGAGTCCCCCCAACCTTCCCTCGGCCCCTAAACCCTGGTGAACCAGGGGTGAGGGTGGGGCGGGTTCTGGTGGGGGTGGGGCAAAGGGCTAGGGGCTCCTGACACCAGGGTACGGGGTGGGGACTGATTATATTGCCAAAGGGTTCAACTTCTTTAAAAAGCCCCCCGTTTCCCCTGACCCTCACGAAAGCCGAATGGGGCGGGGGAAGGGGACGAGGGTTTTTTCCAAAGGGTACTGACCTCTTCCCAACGTCTCCCCCCTGCTCGCCGATCCACTACACGTACCCGGCTTTTTAGTTCAGCTTTTAAAAATAACCACAATCACAAACTTCTACAAACATGATTCTCGGCCCTTGCCCCCCTCCCCCCAAGTCAACAGTGTGGGATTCGGGGAGGGAGAGAGAGCGAGCTAAAGGGACTGTTTCTAAGTCCGGCTCCCCCTTTTCCCCCCCGGCCGCCAGGGTGCCTGCACCTACACGCATGCGCTGCATGACGCGCCCCCCACACGCATGTCGCACCCCTCCTGCGCTCCGGGAACGCACGGACACGGGGCAGGGGGCGGGGCGATCGGGGAGGAATGAATGGCGGGGGGGTCTTCCTGAGCTTCGCGGCTCACCCTCCCCGACAGACACACAAACACACACACGCACACACAGCAATAAGTTTCTCTCACTCAAACGTGGGCGGGCGGGCCTGGCCTGTCGAGGGGGGGAGTGGCGAGGGGCGCTCTCAGGGATGGGGGCGGGGTCCGGAGCCAGTGTGGGGAGGGGAGGTCTGCAAATCGTCCAACTCTGGTGCTAACGGCGGGTCTTCTCAGCCCACCCGCAGGGCAGGGAGGGAGGGGTCGGCAGGCCTCTCCCCCAAGCCTCCCCTACGCCCACCCTGGGTGCATGAACCGCCCAATGCAGAAGCTGCCGCATGTCACCCCCCCAAAGAAAAAGTGTCATGCCCCTTTCCCTCCCACCCTCTCACTCTCCACCAAAATAAAAGTTTCCTTTTCATTTAAAAGCTGCCTCCCATTCGTCTGCTGGGAAAGTATGTTGACTGGAGTGTGGGGTCACCCAGAGGGATTGGGGCTTAAAGAGTGGGGCCGCATTAAAGTAACAAAGGTGTGGACTGTGGCGGTCCAGACATCCCCGCGATCAGTGACACTATTTGGGGCAAGGGCCTGCCTTGGTCCCACTGTGCGCACAGGGGCTGAGGGTCCCACGCTTTATGTCGCTGACTCTGGAGCCAAACCCTGCTTCTACTTCTTAGTAGTTGTGTGTCTTGGACAAGTTGCTCAGCCTCTCTGGGCCTGTTCCTGGCACTCTAAAAGGGTGGGATGGGCGTCTTTGATTCATTCATCAAACATTTACTGAATGCCTACTATGCGCCAGGCACTGGAGAGCAATGAAATCCCAACACAAGGTTGTGCTGAGGGTTGACACAAATGTGCTTAGCATAGCGCCCAGCACACATGGTCACTGGTCACTGCTGTCATGTTTCTGCAAAGACTTGAGAACTGGCTGGAGTGCGGCCCCCCTTCTGGCCGACTCTCCGACTGGGGGGCTTAGAGCCAGAGACAACGCTGCTCTGAGACTCAGTTTTCTTATCTGTATAATGGAGGGAATATCTCCATAATATTATATGTTGGGGTGAGGAGGAAATGAGTTATTTCCCTTTCAGCACCTGGTCCCCAGGAGGCTCCCCCCACACTGGCACAGCTATGATGAGAACCCCACGTGCAGCCCCAGCAGCCTGAAGAAGCCCATGGCCACCCCTCCCCTGTCAGAGACGCCCTGCAGGAACACACATAGCCACCGTGAAGGGTCCAGTTGGGGGTTGGAGTTTATTACTGCCAGAACTGGAGGCCGGGAGGGTAAGGGGGGGTTCCTCCAGCACCCCAGAGAAACTCCAAACCTTGATCACACAGGAGCAGTCAGAAGGGAGGGCAGAGCATGGGGCAGGAGGGGAGCGGGAGGGGTCCCCTTGTCCTGCTCCTTGCAAGGGTTCGAGGCTGGTGGAGGCCTGGGGCTCCAGCGAGCTTCGGTCACTCAGAAGTTTAGGGGTAGGGGCAGAAATGGGGGAAGGAGAGTGGCTACATGGAGATACAAAAGTGTGAGAGCAAGAATCCTAGAGAGATGCAGAGAAGGAGAAAGAGCCAGGGAGGGAGGCAGGGAGAAGCAGAGGAAATGGAGCACTGAGTGGGGCAGGGGAGCCCATCTCGCTCCTAATATATAAAGATCATTAACAACCGAGGGAAGGATGGGGAGCTGATGGGACCACAGCTCGCCGACTGTGCCCAATGTCCCCACAAGCAAGAGAGCCCCACTCCTGTGTGTTCAGGGGTCATTGGTTGATGGGAAGTCTCAGGGGGCCCGGGGTGGGGTTGATAAATGCCAAAGTGCCAGAGGGCGGCACATTTCCAAAGTGCAAGAAGCCAGAGAGTGGGGTTCCTGGGACACGTGCCCGCAGGGGCCAGGGAGGAAGGGACCTGGGTCCTGTCAGTATATCTGGAGGCAGGGCGGGGTCACTGGGGCTGGGCTTGTGGGGACCCGTCAGCCTCCGGGGCTGGTGGCCCAGCCCCTGGCTCTGCCTCCTCAGTCTCCTCGTCGGATGCCACGCCCTCCTCTAGTCGGAAGACCTGTCGCACCGTGCGGGTGGTGAAGGTGAGGGGGCCGCGTCTGCGGGGAAGAGAGACCAGGACAGAGATGAAGGGGGGAGCAGAGAGAGACAGACAGACAGAGAAGACAAAATGAGAGGAAGAGAGAGAGATGAGATCAGGAGAAACGGAGAGAGATGGGCAGAGGGCAATGGTGGGACCAGAGAGAGATCAGGGGACAGAAAGATGGGGGGAGAGAGATAGGGACAGATATTTGTGGGGACAGAGATGGGGGACAGAGAAACAAAGGGACAGAGAGGTGGGGAATGGGCAGAAAGATGGAGGTACGAGATGAGAAAAGGGAGGGCACACAGATGAGACCGAGAGAAATGGGGGTGGGAAGAAAGACAAGTCACCTGACTCTGGCTCTCCACAAACACAGCTCCTGTTCCCATGCCCCCCCCACACCCACGGACCCCATTCTCCCCACTTGCTGCCTCCGGCAAGGCCTTGCCCTTGCACCCCTGGGGTTTATGGAGTGAGGGTACTGCCCGCCCATCAGGCATGTGTGTGGGGCAGCCATACCGAAGCCGGTTCCTCAGCGTGGTCACCTCGCGGTTCATTGACTCGGCAGACTCTGTGACATCCTCTAGCTCACGCTGCAGCCTCCGGCGGCCAGCCTGAGCCCGGGAAGCCTCCTCCTCCGCCTCCTCCAGCTGCCGCTTCAGCTGTTTCACTCGAATGTTTCCCTTCTCCAGCTTGGCAGGAGCAGGGGCACTGGGTCATATCTCTGGGTACTCTCCTCACCCCTTCCTTCCTCCATAGCCCACTAATCCTCAGCCCCATGCCCCCTCTCCTTTGACTCTCTCTGACCTGTCACCTGCTCTCTGTTCAGGCCTTATCTTTTTCTCCTAAGACCCTTACACCAGCCTCCACCCTAGCCTCCAATCTCTCCCCTGCAGGCCATTCCCCACATGTCCTCAGAGGGGTCTTTTTATGCTCAGAGCTGACTTTGAACTTCCATGCTCATGACCCTTTCCTAGCTCCCCAGTACCACTGGGACAAGGTTCCAGCCCCTGAGCCTAGCATTCCAGGCCCTGAAGGGTCTTATTCTTATCTATTTCTCTTTTTCCCATAAACCCACGGTCCAGACCAAATTCACTAAGATCCTCCCCAGATCCTGCCATCTCCTTCTCCAGGGAGGGAACACACATGATCTGACCTCCTTTATTATCACATCATTCTTCTCTCTAGCCATACTGGTTTGCTTTCTGCTCTGAACTCACCAAGCTTATTTCCATACTTAAGGCCTTTGAACTTGCTGTTCCCTCTGCCTGACTCTTCTTCAATTCAAATTCAGGTCGCAATTCAAATTTCACCTCCTTAGAGAGGTCTTCCTGACCTCCCAATCTAAAGAAGATCCCCCAATACTCTGTTTCTTCCTCTTTCTTCATTCTTTTTTACTTCATAGCCCTTGTCACAGTCTGTAATTATCTTTGTTTATTTATGGGTTTACTATGCTTTTTCCTATGCTGAAAATGTGAGTTCCATGAAGGGAGGGACCTCTTCTGTCTCATTCACATCCACATTCCTAATGCCTAGCACAGTTCCTAGCATGTAGTGGGTACAATAATTGTTTGTGGAATGAATGGCAAATCAAGCATAGCTGAGCTTTTAAGGGCACGGGAACTCTGTCTAGCCAGACAGACCTGGGATCTGGATCTGGGTACTATTCACCTACTAACTCCGTGACTTTGATGTAAATTATATTCACTCTTAAAGTTTCAGTTTCCTCACTTATGAAAAAATGCAAGTATGTATTTTTTAAAAAGCAGTTGCTTGTGATACAATAACTGCTCAATAAATAATTAAGAGCAGACTCTGGGGCTAGAGTACTGAGGTTTGAATCCTGACCCTACTTCTTACTAGCTAAATAATTTTGAGTAAGTTACTCCACCTTCCTGTACCTCAGTTTCCTCACCTGAATAACAGGGGAAATAATAGTACCTACTTCATAGGGTTCTAATATATACTACATGTTATATCTTTAGCACAGTGCCTAGCATGTAGAAAGAATTCAATAAACATGATCTATTGTTATTTAGTCCTAGTTTAGCTTCTGAGTATGGTTTAATTTCTTCCCTCATCTTGTAAGCCTCAGCTCCCTACCAGGGCCCTTCCTAGATGCCAGAATTTATGGACTGCAAAGTCATTGATTCCAACCCTCTGCTGATAGGCCAAGACCCAGGATGGTATCTGCACTTGGCTGTAGTCTAGCACCGGCAAGTTGCTTCTTGTGTTGAGAGCTTACTGCTTCCAGAGATGGACTGTGCTATTTCTCAGTCAATGGTCCCATTCCTCATTGTTCCTTAATGATGTCCACTGCTTACCTGGTCCCGGAGCTGGTCAGCCCCCCTCCGCTCCTCCTCCACCTGGAGCACCACCTCTTTAATCCGCTTCTCGGCTCTGCGTAACAGCTTGCCAGAGAGGATGCGCTCTCTGAAGGGAGGGATGAGGAGTTGTCTCAGTAGAAGCACTCAACCTGGGGTTCTGTCCCCATAGTCTCCTCCAGTGGCTGTCATCCTGGTTTTGGGCTGACCCTCTTTCCTACTCCCCAACTGGCTCGCACAGTTTATTCAGCCAGATACTGACCCCCCGTCTCCCTTCTCCAGGGCATCTATGTCCTTGACTTCTATGATACCTGAGTTCCTAAAAATGTCTCCTGTGATATTGTGATTTAAAATAAATATATATTTGGTCCCATTCAGTTTCTAAAGAGAATCATCTACAAACTACCGTCTGCTCTCTGAGCCCATTCATTCCCCCTCAAATTTATTTATTATCCTTCACAATTGCCTACATTCTCCATTTCTCCCTCCCCTATGAAGAGGGTATTCAAGCCTGAACCATCTGGCCCTTGAGTCTCATATTTTATATGGCTTCCTTGCTTATGCACATTAACAAATTTGCATGCCTTTTCTTTTGTTAATCTATTTCTTGTCAGTTTATTTCAGTGGACTCTAACCTTCAGAGGGGTAAGGAAATTCTTTTGCCTCTACATCTGTTCTCTCCCGAAGGACCATCACACCCAGGGTGAAGTCCATGTGATGAGACCCCTAGCAATGGGCAGTGCTCGGGAGCCACAGCAGGACAAGACAGCCCCAGCCATGCTGACAGGTAGGCACAGGGCCGGAGGGAACTACGCAGTGGAAAGAGATGCAGGGGAGAGACTCCTCCAGGTATGGATCATCTGGCCATTCTTTGTTCACAGGGTGACTTTCCGCAGGTCACTTATGTCCCTTGAACCTCAGTTTCCTCATCTGTATAATGTATAGTGGAGGGCTCAGAATTGTGTACTCAATAGCCTCTGGAAGGCCTTTTCAGAGACCTCAAACCTTATTTCCTATGCACACTGGGGCCCATGGCCAACCCTGTGGACTGAGAACTACTTCTCCCATAAGCCTCTGGGACTGTTTCCTTCTATCTGTCCCTGAGACCTTACCATGTCTCATGATGAATTTAGCACCTTCCCCTCCCCCCAACTCCAATGTTCTCCTGGTCACCAAGCCTTCCACAAACACTATCTTCTTCCCCCTTCACATCCCGTAGCCCATCCATTCTCTCAGCTCCACCCCTTCTGTGCCATGATTTCTCTTCTTCATCCCTTCCTGTCCATCCTCACAGCCCCAGCCCTAGCTCAGGCCTCATCTTCTTTTGCTGGGACCATCATTCCAGGCTCCTTCCAGACCTCTCAGCTTCCTGTCTCTCTCCACTCCATTCTCAACTTTAGAGCTGGCCCTGCCCCTCTCCAGCTCATAGCCCTCCCATGGCTCCCCACTGCCCCCAGGAGAGAGTTCCTCAGCCCAGCATTTGAGGCTGTGTGGTTCAAGCCTTGTCTATCTTCCTCCCTGATCTGCCTCCCGGCTCTCAGACTCCCAGAACCAATGGCACTCCTCCAAACGCCCCGATGTCTCCCACACCCTCTCCTGAGGATGCCACTCTGCCTGGGACTCCATGCCTTAGAAATCTTCTCATTTCTGCCAGGCCCAGCTCAAGCGTTTCCTCCTTTAGAAACCCTTCCCAAATCACCCCATGTGAGGCTGATCCAGCGACTCCTTCATCTGTGTCCCCCCAGCCCTCCTAGCTCACAGGCATTTGTTGCCATGTCCTGCTTGGGAGTCTTCCTCCCTGTGGACTGAGGGGTCAGCCCTGGTCTGAAAGGAGGGATGTGTGGAGACTCAGTGACAAAGGTAACTCCTGAGTCTAGCTCAGGTGGGGAATCCCACCAGGCCATGCCCTCCATGGGGGTAAGGACCAGGAATGTCTGATTCTTTGTCATTTCTCCAGTGCCCAGTGCATGGGAGAGTAAACAGCATACTCTTAACACGTTTGTTAAATGAATGCACAAACACAAAGGGGAACTTTATGTAGCATTTGGTATATAGCAATGCTCCTCTTCAACCAGATGGCGGCAGAGATGCTGAATTGTGAGTCAGGCAGCCTAAATTTACAGCCTATCTCTGCTTCAGTTTTCCTATATATAAAATAAGGAGTACAATGATCCCTTCTGTCACAAGGATTATGGGATACACAGGTATGTACAGGTAGTCCAGCACCTGATATATAGTAAGTCATCAATAAGTGCAAACTATTAGTATTGTTGCAGAATAGCATTGAACAATAGAAAAATCTATTGTATTAGAAAAGCCACATGTACTAGGCTTAGTAATAAATATTCTCTTAGTTTAATTAGCATAGTGGTTCTCAACTGGGAATGTTACGGGGGTGTTTCTGGTTGTTCCAGTAACTGGAGATGACAACTCTTTCAGTGTCATACTATTGCTGCTTCCTGGCTCTGAATATGGACGTGTATGGATGTGGTGCTTGGTGTATGTGCAGCCATTTTGTAACCATGAGGGAGACCAAGGAAACTACACAGGCGCTGACCCAGAGCCCTACCATCTTTTGGCTGCCTGGCTCCATGCTTCTTGTCATGTAAGAAAAAGACATTACCCTTTCTGATAGACTCATGGAAAAAACTGTCCCAATTCTCATTCCTTTCTGGAGCCATACCTTTGACAATATGACTTTGTGGCTGCTCCCACCAAGCAGGAATATCTACTTCCTCAATCTCTTGGATCTGAGCTAGGCACGCGACTTGCTTTGGTTAAAGAGATGCAGCAGAAGTAACATAGTACCAGTTCCAAGAGTCAGCCTCAAGAAGGTTTTTATGTTTTTTTTTTGACACAGAGTTTCCCTTTTTGCCCAGGCTAGAGTGAGTGCCATGGCATCAGCCTAGCTCACAGCAACCTCAAACTCCAGGGCTCAAGCATCCTCCTGCCTCAGCCTCCCAGTAGCTGGACTACAGGCATGCCACATGCCCGGCTATTTTTCTATATATATTAGTTGGCCAACTAATTTCTTTCTATTTATAGTAGAGACAGGGTCTCACTCTTGCTCAGGCTGGTCTCGAACTCCTGACCTTGAGCGATCCGCCCGCCTCAGCCTCCCAGAGTGCTAGGATTACAGGTGTGAGCCACCGCGCCCGGCCTTCAAGAAGTCTGTAACACTTTCCCTTGCCCTTGGAGCCTTCACTCTGCCATATGAACAGTCCTGGGCTGGCCTGCTAGAAGATCAGAGGCCACATGGTGCAGAGACAAGTTAGTTGTCCCAGGCAAGGCCTTAGACTTACAAGAGTCCAGACAAGATGAGCAAATCCATCCAGGTGACCCTCAGCTGAGCAAAGATGTGTAAGTGAAGCCCACCAAGCTCAGATCAGCAGAACTTACTAGCCAGCCCAAAGACTCATGAGCAATAATAAATGGTGGCTGGCCAGGCGCTGTGGCTCACGCCCGTAATCCTAGCACTCTGGTGAGGCAAGGCGGCGGTGGATGCTCAAGGTCAGGAGTTCGAACCAGCCTGAGCAAGAGCGAGACCCCGTCTCTACTATAAAATAGAAGAAATTAATTGCCAACTAATATATATAGAAAAAAAATTAGCCGGGCATGTGGCCATGCCTGTAGTCCCCAGCTCACTCAGGAGGCTGAGGCAGGAGGATCGCTTGAGCCCAGATTTGAGGTTGCTTTGAGCTAGGCTGACGCCACGGCACTCATTCTAGCCTGGGCAACAAAGAGAGATTCTGTCTCAAAAAAAAAAAAAATAATAATAATAATAAATGGTGGTTGTTTTAAGCCACTAAGTTTTAGGGTGGTTTGTTACACAGCTATAGCTAACTGCCACATTACTGTGTAAGCCATACTCTTAGTGGGACTGCAGTTACTTGCAGCCCAAAGCATCCTCAATGATATAGGAAATCAGAACCATTAATATTACGATGCCGCTTGGATATTTCTAAGTCAGAAGTTTGTAACAGAGCTCCTTTTCTTCTCACGGGCCAGATGTGGGGTGTCCTTCCACCCATGGCCTCTGCTCCCACCTACCTGCTCTCCTGCTCCAGCTGCTCCTCGGCCTGGGCCAACTTAGACTCAAGGGCAGCGATGGCCATCTTCTGGCGGGCCCGGGCCCCAGCATCCTCTTCACTCAGGCGGCCCCGGAGCTCCTGGATCTGCCGCTCCAGCTGCTGCCGCCCGCTCTCTGCTTTGGCTGAGAAACTGCGCTCGGCAGACAGCTCCGTGGTTAGCGATTCCACCTGTCGCAGGCAGGGAAGGAAGGATGGCATGGTGGAACCTCAGAGGGAAGGTTGCAGGTAAATTCAGGCACCTCCCAGAGTTAAGTGAGCTGACGATAGTTACGTGCATATAGCACAGAGCCTGACACTACTAAATACTCAATATTAGCTTGGATCTTTCGTCATTGACTTATCACACAACAGCACTGCCAGCCCTGGGTTTTAACCTTTTGGATAGTTTTTTGCTATTTTAGTAAGTCCACAAGACCACTGCAAACTTGTTAAAATGCTATAAATTCTACTTCTGACTGTGAATGGAGCTATTCCAAGGGTTATCACACTTTTATTTGCACTAGGATCATCTGGGGAGCTTGTGAAAAACAACACGCACTCCAAGGTCCCCCCACCCTGAGGTTCTGATTCAGCAGGTCTGAAGTGAGGTCTGTGAGCCTGCATTTATAACACGCATCTCAATTCGTAACAAGCTGGTTCACAGGGCAGTGAATATGCAGGATCATTCTGAGAAACACGGCCTCCATAAACAGCAGCCACTACATTGAAAATGTGTAAACACACCCCTAATAGTCCCCAATTTATTTATTCAGCTTGTACTCCGGGCATGGCCCTGGGCTGGGAACCCGGAAATGAGTCAGGCCCAGTCTGACTCATTCTTTATTTCATTTCACCTTCACAGGAGCACATCAACTTGGGAATTAGCACATCCTGTTTTATTTTTTAAACTTTTTCTGGCCAAAATAAACTGGTGATACGGAAAGTCAAAGACTAAGCAAATGCATGGCTTCATGAGTTAGTAAAAGGCAAACAAACATCATTATCAACACCCTGGTCACGTAGCATTCCAGAAGTCCCTTCATGTACCGAGCCTAGTAACAACCCCCTCCTTCCCCCAAAATAGCACATTCTCCTGACTTCTCAGGCCTGTTATTCACAGATGTATCTCTAGGTCCTTTAGTTGAATTCTGCCCATTTAAAAAGTTATGTCTGGCCAGGCACAGTGGCTCATGCCTGTAATCCTAGCACCCTGAGAGGCCGAGGAGGGTAGATCGCTCAAGGTCAGGAGTTCGAGACCAGCCTGAGCAAGAGTGAGACCCCGTCTCTACTAAATATAGAAAGAAATTAATTGGCCAACTAAAAACATATAGAAAAAATTAGCTGGGCATGGTGGAGCATGCCTGTAGTCCCAGCTACTCGGGAAGCTGAGGCAGGAGGATCTCTTGAGCCCAGGAGTTTGAGGTTGCTGTGAGCTAGGCTGGCACTCTAGCCAGGGCAACAGAGTGAGACTCTGTCTCAAAAAATAAAAATAAAAAGTTATGTCTGCCTTTTACATCTCTTTTAATCTACAGTTGCCTCCTCTAGCCCTTTTGTTTCCTTACAACTTGTTTTTGTTTTTGAAGCTTAAATTGCCCCATTTGGGGCCAGTGGGAGGTTCTCTAGGTTGAATTCTAAGTGCTTTTGACATAACCACACTATTTTTCTCCCTAACAGGTATGACAAGATATTCCAGGCTACTCTTGCTCATTTCCTGCTCTAGGTCTGGAATCAGCCATTTCTAAAGAAGCTCCAGTTTCTCGGAGTGGGAAATGAAATTTGTAGACCATGATGTGGGCATGCAGATGCTCACTGCTACGGGACTGGTTATTGTTTCTAGGCCTTTGGATGGACAGAGACAGATTCAATCTATTTAAAATACATCATCAGGCCGGGCTTGGTGGCTCACGCCTATAATCCTAGCACTCTGGAGGCCAAGGCAGGAGGATTGCTTGAGCTCAGGAGTTCGAGACCAGCCTGAGCAAGAGCGAGACCTTGTCTCTACTAAAAATAGAAAGAAATTAGCCAAACAACTAAAAATAGAAAAAATTAGCCGGGCATGGTGGCACATGCCTGTAGTCCCAGCAACTTGGGAGGCTGAGGCAGGAGGATCACTTGAGCCCAGGAGTTTGAGGTTGTTGTGAGCAAGGCTGATGCCACAGCACTCTAGACAGGGCAACAGAGTGAGACTCTGTCTCAAACAAACAAACAAAAAAACGAAAGCATGCATTTCTCCACCTGCTGAGTTCCTACTTATACTTTAAAACTTTAGCCAAAAGTCTCTTTTTCCAAATGCTTTCATGTGACTCTTGCAGAAAGAGTCTTTCTCTCTCTCTACTGGGCCCAGGATGCTTCCATTATTCCACTTGCCACCCTATAATGTGACAGTGTAAGTCCCATGTTTGTTTCCTCCAGGGAACTTCACAGTACAGAGACCCCCACATAATGCATCTTTGGAACCAGCCATTGAAAACCCACAGAAATACAAATGAATGAATGCATCATGCCTTTTCTTCCTCTTAGGAACTCCTATTCAACCCTCAAAACCCAACTCAAATATCCCCTTTTCTCTATCTATTGAATAAAAGGACTGAAGATTATGGCTCCAGGTCAGTGGCAACCTGGGCTGGCAGGGGCGGCCAAGCCATGCTCACCTGCAGGAGCAGCTTGCGGTAGCGGTCATTGAGCAGCTCTGCATTGCTCTGCTCCTCCTCCAGCTCTTCTTCCATCTGCCCCAGGCGCCCCTCCAGCTGCCGCTTCTCGTCCAGAATGGCTGCCCTAGGGAGAAGGGGAAGAGGTGGGAGTGAGGGGACAGGATGGCCAGAGGAGGGAGCTTTGCCCCATGTTACCATGGGCCACTCACTTGCTAAGGTTGCCATTGGCCACCTCGTCTGCCATCTCATCCCGATCCTGCTGGGCCTGCCTCCGGGCACGGTCTGAGGCGGCCAGCTCCTGCGATGACAGAGAGAGGGGTGGTCAGTGGGGGTGAAGGGAAGCTGTCCCACGGTCTCAGCCCCTCGCTGCTCATCGTGCAAGTGAAGGCACCGCTACCTCAAGTGTCTTCACTCGCAGAGCATGCTGTCCCTGGCTGACCTTGGAATGAACTTCAATGGACAGGCGACAGTGTCCTAAGCCCATCTCCTGAGCTCTTCACCTGTGTCCATCTCTAGCTGCTCAACCCCCAGGCCCCTCGCCCGCTTCACCTCCTACTAAGCTCAGAGGCTCCTTCCAACCTGCTCCTTCTCCAGGTCCCCCCAGTCACCCACCAGACCCCTCTGTGCCCTCCTCCCGCCTCCTCCCCCACACCACCTCCTCCCTCTTGCCCTCTGCCTCTGCATCCCCTTGGCCCTTCTTTCCAGACTCAGCACCTCCCGGCTCCCCCTACACAGCTGCCCCTGCCCCTCCCCCGCTCAGAATCTTCCCATGGCTCCTTAGTACACTTGGGACAAAAATCCCTGCCACTCCGTCAGCCCCGCCCACCTCCCCAGCCTCACACCCAGGGCACACTGGTTAGCCCCGCCCACCCCCCAGCGCCCGCCCAGGGCCTGCCCCGCCCCGGCCTCACCTCCTGCAGCCGCAGCACCTCCGCTTCCAGCGCCTTGAGGCGCTTCTCACTTTCCCGGTTCAGGCCAAAGATGTCATCCCGGGAGCTTCGCGTCTCCTCCACCTCCCGCCACAGCTCCTTCATCTGGGCCTGGGTGGGATGGAGCGGGTAGGTGAGCGCGCTCAGCACGGCCCGCTTCGCATGAGCCCAGTTCCTGGGCTCCCATGAACAAGCAGGGGGTTTCTAGAACCCTGCAGACCTGGGCTCCCGCCTATGAGCCTCTTGCTGTGTGGCCCCAGGCCAGCCCCTCTCCCTCTCTGGTCCTCACTTTCCTTGACTGTAAAAGGAGGCGGTGGGCCTGACTGAGCTTAGAAGGCAGCTGAGGTCTGAAGGCGCCTGGTTTCAAGTCAGACGGACCTGGGTTTGAATCATAACTTGGCTACATCCTTGCTGTGTGACCTTGAGCCAGCCACTGCCCCTCTCTGGGCCTCAGCTACCTCCTCTTTAAAAACATCTTAAAATTAAAGTAAGCCAAAAATGGGTATAACGTGGACTCTGCAGTAACAATAATGAATGATGACAAATGCTTGCTGACCACCCACTTTGGGCCAGGCCCTGTCACACACACACATGGACTCCCTCATCCTCACAACAGCTCCAGTTGCTGGGGACTTTTATCCTCCCAGGGTACACACGGAGAAACTGAGGCACACAAAGGTTTACACGCCCAGGGTAGTAAATGGTAAAGCCAGAATTGGAACCCAGGCTGCTGACACCAGGGTAAGGAATTTCCATTTGAAAAACAAAATAAAATGAGAAAATTGGACTTAAAAATTCAGCGTTTTATTTTATTTATTTATTTTGGAGACAGAGTCTCGCTTTGTTGTCCAGGCTAGAGTGAGTGCCGTGGCGTCAGCCTAGCTCACAGCAACCTCAAACTCCTGGGCTCAAGCGATCCTCCTGCCTCAGCCTCCCGGGTAGCTGGGACTACAGGCGTGTGCCACCATGCCTGGCTAATTTTTTCTATATATATCAGTTGGCCAATTAATTTCTTTCTATTTATAGTAGATACGGGGTCTCACTCTTGCTCAAGCTGGTTTCGAACTCCTGACCTCAAGCAATACGCCCGCCCCGGCCTCCCAGAGTGCTGGGATTACAGGCGTGAGCCACCATGCCTGGCCAAATTCAGCATTTTAAATAAAAGAAATAAAAAGTATAAGAACAAGTGAGCATTTGGGGCAGGGGAGTGCTGACTGGGAGGCTGCTCCTGGGGTCGAGGGGTGGGGTCCAGGCTGATCTCAGACCCGAGGGATGAGGGGGCTGCAAGGCACCCGGGGACCCCATCGGGCCGGCTCCCGCCCAGCCTCACCTGCATCTTACGCAGCTGCTTCACCGCCTCCTCCTTGCCCTGCCCCGCGGCCGCCGTCTGCGCTCTCAGCTCCTCCAGCTCGGCCTCCAGCTTCTTGCGGGCGGCCACGGCCAGGGCCCGCTGCTTCCGCTCCTCGTCCCGCTCCACCTCGGCATCCCTCAGCTGTGGGAGGGCAGGTCAGCACGCGGCGCCCAGGCTCCCCGCCCTGCTCCTCCTGCCCCAGACCCTCCCTGCCTGGTCCACCCTCCCTGTCCCCACCGCCCCAGCCCGGGCCTCGTCCCCCTTTCTTGCCCAAGCCTCCTTTCCAGACTCCCATCTCTCCCTCTAGCCCGTTCCCGCACGGCTCAGGGGGTCTTTGCGCACCTAGAGCTGACCCTACTCACAGCCCTGCCGTGGCTCACCAGTACCCCCAGGGCCAAGACTTGGATACTCATCCACGGCCAGGTCAATGGGGCCAAAACAAAACAAAACCTGTGGCCTTGGGTCACCTCTCTACTCCTTGCCTCCCCACCTTCTTGTACCCCTCACCCCAAGTCTGTTGCCCGCATGGCCCCAGCAGGGTCTTTCTGACCCCTGGAGCTGCCCCTGCCCCTCCATGCTCAGCGCTCAGCCCCCAGGACAGGGCGGACGTAGGAAATGTCCTCACAGGTGAGCTGCGCAGAGAGGGGCGAGCAATGGGAGAGCCAGCGACATGGACGGGTGCACGAGAAGACTGGGCTTGTGGGGTCTGGGGTTGGGTAATGGGGAGTGGTTGAGTTGGGGAGAGGAGACTGGCCGGAGGGGTTGTTAGGGGGTGCAGGAGTAGCTGGGTACGGGGCTGGCGGGGTCTAAGTGTCGGTCGGTGGGGGGCGTACTTCCGTGGCTGATCGGGGCGGCGGGTGGGTGGGTGAAGGTTTGGGGACAGAGGACGCGTGACTGGGTTCGCAACAGGTCACAGGGCATGAGTGTGGCTGGCGGGCTGTGGAGTGGGAGGAAGGTTAGCTGGCAGGAGGGGCATCAGCAGCCACACTGAGTAGCACGTGGGTGACGAGACCCTCTGTCATGCCTCCTGTGACCCATGTGCCCAGCTGCACCTGCACCCCGTGCCCCTCGCCCGGTGATACCTGCTTGGCCAGCTGCCGCCGCCTCTCTTCACCGGCCTCGTCGCGGCCCTGCAGGTCCCGCTCGTGCTGCGTCTTGAGAGCCTGCACGGTCACCTCCAGACGCAGCTTGGCGTCCTCTGCCGCCGTCAGCTCGTCCTCCAGCTCGGTCACCTGCGTCCGCAGGTCGCTGGCTGCCTGTTCTGCCACCCGCCGGGCTCGTTCCAGCTCGTGCACCTGGTGGGGAGGGAAAGTGAGCCCTGGACGCCTGGGCCACCGAGGGAGGGCAGGCGAGGATCTGGGGTGGAGTCGGGGGACCGTTGACGTAGGGCGGGAGGCAGCAATGGACGCGCCCGTCCTGGTTCATGCATCCACTCAACATTCACTGAGCACCTGCGTGCTCCCGTCTCACGCAGACTCGTCCTGAGACGTATCTGATGAATAAGCTACGCATGATCGCTCTGTTATCCGAGCTCTTGAGAGTCCCACTCAAGTGTTTGTTAGGTCAGCTGACTCTCACTCATGGTGGCTTATTTCCCCGGAGCTTTGTAATTTTGGATTGTGAGCTCACTCCCTGGGGCTTCATCTTTAGGGATCCCGCGTGACAACGAATCGGAGGCGTCTGGCTCCAGACCTATCAGTGCCGGCTTCCGCCAGACGCCCCAGCGTGTCACCAGCCCACTACCTACTTCTATTTTTTTTTCTGTTTGGGGGTTCCCAGATCTTTCAGAAAGTTCTTGTCAGTGACAGTATTGACTTTCAGCCCCTAGAATGGACCCCCCCCGTCTCCCCTCACCCCCAATTTGGCACCTGCCAGTTTGTTTTATTTACTAAAAGGGATCAAACTTTCTCCCATCAACATCTTATTTCCACAAAGGCCTTTGGAGTCACAGCGAATCAGTTGATGGCTTTCCCAAGAGTCAGACCGTAATGGTGCAGGCGTGAGCTGGGTCTGGTTCCTACCCCCGGGGCTGCAGGGAGGGGGTGTCAGGTGGATGGGGGCTCCCCAGGCCTGGCTGAAAGCAGCGCTGGATCCATGCCAAAGCGTGTGGTGAAGACAAAGCCCTCGTCCCTCAAGCTGCTGGGAGTATATTGTCGGGGACTAAGGAAATAAGGACGTGAGGAGCAGAACAGAGTCTGCCTAGACTCTGCCACTAAGTCCCACCATCAGTGAGGATGGCCTGTGTCCCTGGGCCTGGATGGGCTGCTGCTCCGGAAGTCTACCTAGTGGATGCATGAAGGAAGGACGGAGTGGGGGGTGGGGCCACCCTGACCTTGCAGAAGGCTGGGACACCGGCTGGGGAAGGGGCTTGGGCGTGGGCTCGGGGCACCCCCCAGAGGCCCTGGAGGGGTGGATGGGTCAGGGAAGACAGAGCCTGGTGGGGCGTGTGTGTGCTCAGTGGGGTTGGGGTAGGCAAGGTAGGGAGTCCTCATTCTGTGTGTGTGTGCATGCATGCAACACATGCATGTGTGTGCATTGCACGTGTGTGCACGTGTGTGTGCATTGCACATGTGTGCGCCTGTGCACGTACTCGCATCTAGGGCCTGGCTCTCAGGCTGCGTGGTATGGTGAATTCTTTTCACGTTCTGCCTTGCTCTAAGTATTCACACGCATGTGTGCCAAGCCATATCCTCACGTGTGCGTGCACATGTGAACGTGTGTTTCAGGGCAGATTCTCCTCACGTGCCATATGCATGGATGTGAGCATGTGCGCTTTGTGGGTGGCTTTGTATGTGAACACACGTGCTCTGCGGAAGAGTCTCCTCGTGTTCTATGTGTGTGAACATGAACGTGCGGCTCTCTCTCTCTGTGTGTGTGAACACGTGCATTTGGCACAAGGTTCTCCTCCCGCTCTGTGTGTGTGCATGCATGTTTGGTGACAGCTCTCCTGTCGTCGTGTTTGTGCATGGACACATGACTGCGATGGCTGGTGCTCTGCGTGTTCCGCGTGGAGACGCATGCGTGTGTGTACGTGTCCCGGTGCAAACGTGCCCGGGGGAGCGGGGGCCTGCTCACGCTCTTGCCGACGTCGTCCTTGCTGCTGAGCAGCGCCTCCAGCTCGGCTCGCAGGGCGCGGTTCTGGCGCTCCAGCTCCTCCCGCGCCTCCTGCTCCTCCTCCAGCGCGCGCGCGAGCGCCAGGGCCCGCGCCTCGCGCTCCCGGCCCTCCGCCTCCGCCCGCTCGCGCTCCTCCACGGCCCGCAGCGCCGCCGCCTTCTCCTCCGCCAGAAGCTTCCGGGTTGAAGGAGACGGGTGGGGGGAAACCGATTAGCTGGAAGGAGTGCACAAAGGGCACGGGAAGAGGGAGCAGCCAGGGACAGAGAGAGACAGAGACAGGGAGACAGACAGAGGCAGAGACACCAGAGGGAAGCAGAAGGGTTAAAGTTGCGACCGCATCCCAAACCAGCTCCACTCCTGAACGGATCAGACCGATGGGTCTCTCAGTCTACACACCCAACAGAGGCAAGGTGTTTCTTCCTTTTGGGGTAGTGGTGGGGAAAAAAATGTGTATTTTTAAGTGGAATTCAACTGGTACTGTTTTTTTTTTTTAAGACATAGTCATTGGCAAACAAACTTGTAAGACACGCAAAGAGGAAAAGAGAGCAGGACTCAACAGTTAAGAGAAATATCAGTCCATTAAAACAGACCCACAGATGACCTGCGTATTGGAATTATCACGCAGGGGCTTTCCTATGATGAGTGAGTTTTAGAACAAGATGGATGTCATGGGTGAAGAGACAGGGTTATCTCAGGAGGGATTTGCAACCGTAAGACAGAACCACATGGGAATGCTAGAACTGAGAAATACGATATCTAAAATTAAAAAGGGATTAGATGAAATTAAGAGCAGACTGGATACATGAGAAGGATCAGTAAACTTGAAAACAGGTCAATAGAAATTAACTATCCAAATGGAGTAAAGAAAGAAAAAAGATTGTAAAAAAATAATTAACAGAGCTTAAATGACCCATGAGAGGGTATCAAGCAGTCAAACATACATGCAATTGGAGTCTGAGAAGAAAGGTGAAGAAAGGGAAGGAAAGCCGGGTGCGCTCACGTCTGTAATCCTAACACTGTGGGAGGCTGAGGTGGGAGGATCACTTGAGGCCAGGAACTCAACAAGAGCCTGGGCAACATAGCAAGACCCCATCTCTACACAAAATTTAAAAATTAGCTAAGCATGGTGGTGTGTGCCTGTAGTCCTAGCTACTAAGAAGGCTGAGGCAGGAGGATTGCTTGAGCCCAGGAGTTTGAGGCTGCAGTGAGCTATGATCATGCCACTGCATCCCAGCCTGGGGGACAGAGCAAGATCCTGTCTCTTAAAAAATAAAATAAGAATAAGAATATAACCCAATTAACAAATGGGCAAAAGATTTGAACAGACACTTTCCTAAAAAAGATACATGGATCTTTTCATAACTACATGAAAAGATGTTCAACATCACTGGTCATTAGAAAAATACAAATTCAAGCCACTATATACCTATTAGAAAGACTAAGGCTTCATTCATAATTGCCCCAAACTGGAAACAACACAAATGTTCATCAACAGGTTAATGAATATCAAAATGTGGTTTGTCTATACAAGAATGATACTCAGTAGTAAAAAAAGAATGAATTATTGATATATGCAAAAATATGGATGAATCTCATCCAAAAAGAAGCCCGTCCAAAAAGAGATTTATATGAAAAGAATTTATATAAAATTCTAGAAGATGCAAAAAAAAAAAAAAAAGCCTCAATGATCCATGGGACAGTATTAACCAATCACATATATTTGTGTTTGACATCCAAGAAGAAGGGGAAAGAGAGAGGAAGCGGGAGTGAAAAATATTTGAAGGAATAATGGTTGAAAATTTCCACATTGGATCAAAAACATCAACCCATAGCTGCAGGAAGCTCAGTGAACCCAAAGCAGGATAAACACAAAAACCCACAGGCAAACTGCTAAAAACCAAACATAAAGAGAAAGATTTTAGATCAGCTAAAAAAACAAAAAACAAAACCCACATTGTATTACCTACAGGGAAATAGTAATTTAAGTGACTGCTCTTAATAGCTTTTCATCTCGAACAGTGGAGGCCAGAGATAATGGAATGACATCTTCAAAGTGCTGAAAAAATTAAACTGTTCACCTAGAATTCTGCATCCCATGAAAACATCTTTCAAATATAAAGGCAAAATAATGACACCTCCTGCCCCCACCACATAATAATTATTATTATTATTTTGATTTGTCCATGTTGAGAACCTGCTGTGGTTTTTTTTGGTTTTTTTTTTTTTAGAGACAGAGTCTCACTCTGTTGTCCAGGCTAGAGTGAGTGCCATGGCGTCAGCCTAGCTCACAGCAACCTCAAACTCCTGGGCTCAAGCGATCCTCCTGCCTCAGCCTCCCGAGTAGCTGGGACTACAGGCATGCGCCACCATGCCCGGCTCATTTTTTCTGTATATATTAGTTGGCCAATTAATTTCTTTCTATTTATAGTAGAGACGGGGTCCCACTCTTGCTCAGGCTGGTTTTGAACTCCTGACCTCGAGCGATCCTCCCGCCTCGGCCTCCCAGAGTGCTAGGATTACAGGCGTGAGCCGCCGCTGCGCCCGGCCTGAACTTGATCTTAACTCTCTGGGGCTCTGCGGTTTCATTTCATCCTCAGGCTGCCTGCTGCTTGGTATTATTCCCATTTTCTAGATGGGTAAACTGAGGCTGAGATGGGAGAGGCGACTTGCCAGTGAGTCAGCAGAAGAGAAATGTGTTATTTCATTCGATTCTCACAAGCACCAGCTGGGGGGTACTGAGAGGCTGCTATATTTCACCGTCCAAACCAGGACAGGCCTGGAAGTACGAGGGCGGGGCTCCTAGTAATTACGCTGTCACAAGAGGCGTGAACCAGGACAGATGGCTGTCCTATTTTACAGAGGCTCAGGGGGAAGAAGAGTCCCACTTCTTGGTCCACCATGACTTCACAGTTGAGCCGTGACACTGTATATTACTGATTCCCCGCAGAGGCCACCAGCAGCAAAGGTTAGCTGGCTGCTCCCCCAACTGGGTAAACTGAGGCGCCCCACCTGGTCGAACTTGCGCTGCTTCTTCTCCAGAGTGCTCACGAGCTGCCGCTGCTGCTCCAGGTCCATGGTGGCGTCGTCCAGTTCCTGCTGCAGCCGGCGACGGCCCCGCTCCAGCCGATCCGCCGTCTCCGTCTTCTCGGCCAGGCGCTGGGTCAGGGCCTCAGCCTCGCGGGCCGCCCGGCGCCGGGCCTCCTCCCCTGCCTCCAGGGCGCCTGCCTCCTCCTCCTGGCGCCGCCGCCACTCTGAGAGCTGGGGTGGGGGAGATAGAGGGTGGGTGACAGTCGTGGCCACGAGGGACCGAGGTGTGACCTGTGATGCCCCATTTCCCAGATGAGGAGACTGAGGCCAGAAGGAGGAAAGGATCCTTCCACTGGGCTCTTCTGCCTTAGGGTGGGCGTGAGGCTGTGAGTGCTACTAAGAGCCCTGGCTCTTCCAGGGGGTTAACATGGCTCCCTCCAGGACCCGGAGACCAATCAGACCTGGAGTCTACCTTGGGGAACCCCGAGTCTGATGGGGGAGACTGAGTGTCACAGCAGGGTGATGAGGCTAAGGTAGAATATAAGAGCCATGGGAGTTCACACAAGGGGCTCAGAATCTGTTTAGAACATTCAGGAGAGACTTCCCAAAGGAGGGGCATTTGAGATGAGCCTTGACGTATGCGTAGGAGTTCGCCAGTTGAAGGATATCTGCAGCATGAATCGTCACTCATTCGTTCAACAGGCACTTCTTGGGCCCATCATGCATCAGGCTCTATGTTGGGCTGTGCTGGGGCCCCAGATCTAACTGGACCTGACGGGGTTCTACTTGGAAGGGCTCTCAGCCTGGTGGGGAGACTGGTGGGCAGAGACAGACCCAGCCCAAGGTGACTGCAGTTGGGACAGAGGAGAAGGAGAGGGGTGGTAAGGAAGAGCTTCCTGCAGCAGGGAAGAATGAAAGGGTTTTTGCAAGTGACTTGGATTCTGAGCTGGGGCTGGGCTGCTGTGTAGACGGAGGGCAGGGATGAGGCTGAGGGGAGCGGGAGGGGCGGGTGCCCGGGGCTGGGCACAGCTGTGGGCAGTGAGGGAGCGTGAGGAGATGACAATGGCACTACGATGAGGTGGACAGCGGGACTGTCCCTGAGCTGGGGGACGGGAGGGGACTGTGCCTGGCAGCAAGTGTCGCCGGGCCGCCCACCTGGGCCTGGGCGGTCTGCAGCTCGCGGCCCGCGCGCTCCCTGGCCGCCGCCTCCTCCTCCAGCTGCTCCCGCAGCCCGGCCGCCTCGGCCTCCAGGGCTCGCACCCGGGACCCCAGGGCCAGCTTCGCCCTGGTCTCCTCCTGCAGCACCTCCTGCAGACGAAGGGGACGATGGCGTCAGGTGCGGTTAGGAGGCCAAGGGGGGAGGGTAGCTGCACGGTGGGGTCGCAGGGCGGGCTGGGTCACCTGGGCGTCGTGCAGCTGGGCTTCCGTGCTGCTGAGCTCCTTGCTCAGCCGGATGGCTTTGGACTCGGCCTCGCTCAGCGCCCCGGACACGTTCTCCAGCTCCGCCTGCGGGGAAGGCAGCAGGATGAGGCCTCCAGCCAGCGACCCTGCCTGCTCCTCAAGCCCCCACCACGCACGGCTGGGGGGGACGTCAGATGGCACAGCTGCTGCGGCAAACGGTCTGGCAGTCCCTCAAACGCTCAAACATAGAGTTTCCAAAAAAAATAGAGTTTCCATGTGACTTAGCAATTCCGCTCCCAGGTGTGTACCAAGAGAAATGAAAACACACGTCCATGCAGAACGTGTATAGGAGTATTCACAACCATCTAGTCACAATCGCCAACAAGTGGAAACAACCTAAGTGCCTGTCAACAGACGGATGGACAAACAGAATGTTTTATACCCACACGGTGATGGGTATTATGTGGCATAAAAAAGAATAAGTGCTAATATGTGCTATAACATGATGGACTTTGGAAACATTATGTAAAGTAAGAGGTGGCGGCCGGGCGCGGTGGCTCATGCCTGTAATCCTAGCACTCTGGGAGGCCGAGGCGGGAGGATCGCTCAAGGTCAGGAGTTCGAAACCAGCCTGAGCAAGAGCGAGACCCCCGTCTCTACTATAAATAGAAAGAAATTAATTGGCCAACTAATATATATAGAAAAAATTAGCCGGGCATGGTGGTGCATGCCTGTAGTCCCAGCTACTCGGGAGGCTGAGGCAGGAGGATCGTTTGAGCCCAGGAGTGTGAGGTTGCTGTGAGCTAGGCTGACGACATGGCACTCACTCTAGCCTGGGCAACAAAGTGAGACTCTGTCTCTGAAAGAAAAAAAAAAAAGAGGTGGCAGTCGCAAAGGCCACACATTGTGATTCTATGGATATCAGATCTCCAGAATAGGAAATCTGTAGAGACGGAACAGAGATGAGTGGTTGCCTGGGTGAGAATTGGGGGATGATGGCTAACGATGCGGGATTTCTTTTTGGGTAATGAAAATGGTCTGAGTTAGATTTTGGTGATGGTTGTACAGCTCCGTGAATATACTAAAATCTATTGAATTGTACATTTTAAATGGGTGAATTAGAGGGCATGGGAGTCATATCTCAGTAAAGCTGCTCCTCGCCTTCCCCACCCTCCCCGCCCACCCCTTATCACCGCAGCAGTGACCCCGGGTGGCGCCGCTCCCCTCGTGGTCTCGGCTGCAGGAAACGGGCAGTCGATGCTTCCTTCCTCCTAGACTGTGACCTGCGTAAGGGCAGGGACCTCATCTGCTTAATGGCCTGCTGTGTCCCCAGGGTCTGGCATACATTAGGTGCTCAATAAATGTGTGCAGGATGAGAAGTCTCAAGTACTTGTGCCCTACCCTGAGCCTCTTGCTCTCCCTTTCCAAGGTTCACTTAGGGAACAAGGCTGAGTTAAAATTCTGGCTCGTAGGAAAACTCATCTGAAAACTTGGAAATGGGACAAGATGACCACATGTCCTTTTGATATCACAGAACAAAACCGTCCAGCAAGCCCACTTCAGGTTCACCTCACTCTCCAGGGGAATAAAACTCTTTCACTCATATTGTGAAGTTACGTAAAGAAGGTTGATATGTTGCAAATAATTTCTGTCCAGTAGAGAAGACGACTTGAAGCTTACACTTTATTGCTCTATAGGACATTAACCAGTTTTGCCTTTATGCCATTTTATTTCAGCCTTTTCTCTTTTGCCAATTATAGACACACCAGTCTCTCGTCTCTCCTCTTGAACATCTTTGCCATCCTGCCGGGTCCCTCATTAACACTTTAAATAAATCTCCGACACATATTCACCATATCTTTGTATGACAGTCATGATTTGAACTTTTGGAAATTATATTTTGACCTGGCCCTGGCACTTCCTGGCTGTGTGACCCAAGACAAGTAGCTTCTATCTTTATGGGCCTCAGTTTTCTTGTCTCTACAATGAGGATGATAATAAGAGCTTCCCCCCAAGGGTGCTGTGAAGATTAAATGAAACAATGAACATAATGTGCCTAACTCAGTGGCTGACATACACCTGAAGCTCGATAAATAGGAACACTTTACAATTTTTGAGAATTCGCTGTGTGTGCAGAACTATTCTAAGTGCTTTACTAAGTATTGGCTCACTGAACTCATATACCAACCCTATGGGGGTAGATATCACTATTATTCCCAGATTATATAAAGGGAGGCTGAGGCACAGGAAGGTTAGGCAATTTGTCTAAGATCGCACAGCTACAAGTGGCAGAACTGAGATCTGAGCCCAAGTAGGATGGCTCTTTCCAATATGGTAGCCACTAGCCCCGTGTTGGTATTTAAACTTAAAATAATTAAAATGAAATGAAAGTAAACAGTTCCTTAGTTACACTCACCACATTTCGAGCGCTCAGTGCCACACATGGCTAGTGGACAGCAGAAATGTAGAATATTCACAATACTGAAGAAAGTTCCACAGGATAGCTCTGCCTAGAACTCATGCTATCAACTGCTAAAGCCCTACTTTTGGTATCACTTTTATTTTTGCAATATGTCAAGTGCTTAGCACAGTGCACCAGGTAGCAGGGTTCCGCTTGGGGAAGACTCTAGCTGTCCTCTGCATCCATTCTTCCCTGCTCCCATTGTGACCGACTATTAACTATGACATGGCTACAAGCTGGAAACTACATTTCCCAGCCTCCCTTGCAGCTAGCAGTGGTCATGTGATTAAGTAATGGCCAATGGAATGAAAGCAAAGCAACATATGCAAATTATGTGACTCTTCTCTTTCCCCTTCCTAAGCCGAAGATTTGGCCCTGAAAATGAGGTCAACACCCTTGGGGACGGTGGAGCAACAAGCAGAAGGAACCTGGGTCTTGAGTGACCTTATAGAGCAGAGTGTGCTGCCGGCCTGAACTGTTTACCCTGAGCCTATTTTTGTGAGAAGGAATGACATGTCTTACTGACGCTGATGAATTTGGGGGTCTCTTTGTTATAGCAGCTTAACGTTTACCCTGATTAAGTGCTCACATCTCCTTCCCCCCAGGGCAAAGGCGTGTGGAGAAGACCCGGGGCCCTGGAGGCCGAGGTGTCCGAGCTGCGGGCGGAGCTGAGCAGCCTGCAGACTGCCCGCCAGGAGGGCGAGCAGCGGCGGCGGCGCCTGGAGTCACAGCTGCAGGAGGTGCAGGGCCGGGCCGGCGACGGGGAGAGGGCGCGCGTGGAGGCCGCTGAGAAGCTGCAGCGCGCCCAGGTGAGTGGGTAGCCAGCGCAGGGTCTCTGCTGTGTGACCGTGGGCGAAACGCCGGCCCTCTCTGGACTTGCGTTTGGTTCACACGAACCCGGTTGTGCTGTCCAGCTCTCCCAACATAATCGTGCACTGCTCGCTCATGTTCGGCGAGCAGGGAATGCATACCAGGCGTTCTTGGTAGGAAAGAGCCGATATCGTTCCCGTAGTACACAACAGGAAACTGAGGCCCAGAGTGGTAAAGCTGATGGCCCAAGATCACCCAGAGCTGAACCTTGAACCCTGGCATGCTCTTAATTAACCCTGCCACCTTCCACCCTCTTCCTTTCTGCCTTTGAGTTGTTCGCGATTTGATTAGAAGGGCCCAGTGTGATGACGTGGAACTCTAAGAGGATAATATCATTCTGTGGGTACTCAAAGAACAGCGGCTTTTAAAACTTAATTTTATTCTATTTTTAACTAAATGACCTGTACCTGCTTATTATTGAGAATACAAACAAGCACAAAGAACAGAGGCAAGAATGACTTTGAATTCCCTCAATTCTTCCCCGAGAGACCGCCACTACTGTTCTGCATTTCCAGATTAAAGCAGTGCATTAATCAGGGTAAACGTTAAGCTGGCCTATAACCAAAGAGCACCCCCACGGATTCTTTT